GACTTTGGACTTTATCTGGAAAGAAGGAATTATTTTGAAATACTGAAAAACAATGTATCAAAAATAACTTTTTTGCTTTTACATAGATGGAAGTTTTCTGGGTCAGTGGGCTGGCTCTCCCTTGGGCAGTTGCCCCTGCAGCTGCCTTCTGATGGGCTCTTTTCTCCTCAGGAGCTCCTGTCTTTCTCACGTGCAGGCTTAGTAACAAATCAAGTTAAACAAGTGACAAGTGACAAGTCAAATCCATTGTCACTCTTACAATGTGGGGTAGCTTCAGTGCTAAAGATGAAGTGAGGAACTTTATATGTATCATAGTCTGATCATAGTATGATATTCTGTGTATATAACCTTATAGAAATGGGATCACATATATGTTGTAGAATGCAGACCTGAAAATCTGAAAGGACACTCAGAATTGCCTGCTGGTGCCTTCAGAGAGGGCACTGAGCTTTGGTCAGGCGTAAAATAGTTTGAAAGGGTCCTGATGTCTTTATTCAATATCTAGTTTCAAGCATATGTTACTACTTATGTAAGTCTATTTTTCAGTACTATGGCAAAATGCCTGGGGCAGGCTACTTTGTGAAGAAGCTTAGGTTGATGTATGGTTCTGTAGATGCAAAGGTGAGGAGCAGCATCTGGCGATGGTCTTCTTTCTGGCAGAGCTCAGAGGTAGCCCAGGGTATCCCATGGCAAGAGACAGGGTACATCCAGATGTCTGTCTGTTCTCTCTTCTTATAAAGTTATCAGGATTCATTTCTCTCTGCAATAGTGAGTTTATCTAAGTCTAATTACCTCCCAAAGACTCAACATGTTCAGTGGAATTGAGTTTCCATCCTCTTACTAGCTCCCAATGGAGATTAAATTTTGATACACCGAGTCTTGGGGAACATTCACACTGCATCCAGACCATAGTGTCTAATATACATGCACATTTGAACCAGTAGCATCTGTGGCCTTGGCCCCTGGCTTTCCTGCAGGAGGACCCTTTCCTCACCCGCTCGGCAGGGTCAGGGCTCCTCCTTGTGCTCCCCCGTCACAAACCTGATCTTAGACATTGCTTCTTCTTCCTTCAGCTTTCTGGCCCTGCCCCACTCCCAGCTGCTGAAGTCTTCCTGTGACCTTTAAACGTGGACTGTCCTTGTTCCATCCTCTGCCTTCTTACCCAGCTTGATTGTAGGTCAAGCCTTGCAGTGCTCTCACCAGCCCCTGGTTCCTCCCACTCATTGTCCACTGGCCACATCTGCTTTAGCAGCTGTTGACTGTCTGCTCCATTTCAGTGAGCCAGTGGAGCTTCATCTATGGGAGTCCCGGGACGCCTGTGAGTGGTGACAGAGTTATCTGTGGGTGCTAATCTACGAGGCACTAGAGACCCCTAAGATTATTTTCACCAACAACCAGAAAGTCCTACCTATGCTGTCCGTGCTGGTGAGTTTTTCATTACTCTGGTGGGACAAGAAGGTTAAGAAAACGATGTCTGGGAATTCTGACTCCTATAATCTATACTTGAGTCTGTCTTCATCCTTGAGAAAGAAACTTCTGGGACATGTTTGCTGGAATATGTTGGAATTATCTGGGATGAGTTTTAAAAAATATCTTCAAGGACTCTATCTCCAAAGACTTTGATTTAGTGAGGCTAGGAAAGATCTAGTCACCTGAATTCTATAAGTCTTTCTGAAGGAATAGGATATGAATTGTCTCTTGACCCATCAAGGTGATGTAAACTCGGGTCCATTAATGAAAGTATACTAAGTGTTATGTAGGAGACAGAACTTCCAAACTGTGTACTGAATTTAGTGTTCAGGAGTGACTGGATATGTATTTGGGCATTCCCAGAGAAACTTGAACAGTCTTCAAAAAAGTAAGACCTCAGTGGTATGAGGATTCAAAGTTTTATTTGTGTCACTATGAGGAAGAAAGAAAGCATCGCTGATGAAACATTTGACTTGCCCCCAAAAATTAACTAATGAAAACATCTAGAAGATCATCTATGGCCCTGGTACCTGGCTTTCCTGCAGGAGGAACATTTATTTAACACATCTCCCCTTGGGTTAAATAGATTTATTAGACCACAAAGCCAAATATCATCATGATGACCTGGCTTGCTGGGATGCATTGCCTTTGTTTGTTGATTGAACTGAGATTCTGTCTGTATTACAGCTGGCTCACCCATTCTACCTGTCTGTCCATCTCCTGCATAGTCCTGTAGTTCCCAAATGCTTGAAGAATATGTTTAGGGCAAGTACATGATTACAAACACACACACACACACACACACACACACACACACACACACACACACACACATGCCCGTGCATGATTTGCACAAGCAAAACCAGACATCTGTAAATATAGAATCCTCACAGCCATCTTGTGAGGGAGAGCATTTTTTTTTCTTTTGTACCAGGGATTGAACTCATGACCTTGGTTTGCCAAGCAGGCACTTACGCCACTGAGCTAAACCCCTGGGCTGGAAAAGCATTTTTGTTCTCTTCATTTAATTGTTATTGTTCTTATTGGAGAACATATGACAACTTGAAACTAGCAAAGCAAGGATTTGAATTCAGGTCTGGCCACAGATATAATGCTCAAATTGATCACTGGGAGCTGAAATACATCCAAGTGTATTTCTGTTGCAGCATTAGCCCAAAGTTTGTCTTGTCAGTTCCTCTTCCTGGAGAAGACAAGATTAAGGATGGGGAAGGTCCTTCCGTACAGTCACAAGACGCCTCCTCTGATGTCCTTTGGGGCCCAGAAAGAGCATGGACTTGGAACGGATTGTTGGCTATAATAATAAGTTTTGCATAACTGTAACAGAATGCTTACGTTAGGCTTCTGAGACAACAAAGAGGTTTATTTATCTCTTGGTCAAAATATCAAGCCCAAGACCAAGTGGCTTCATTTCTTTGGGCTTCTGGTGAGGACAGATGAGATAATGGTGGGAGCACTTGGTGGAATGAGCACCACCTTGAGCCAGGAGGCAAACTGACAGAAGGAGAGAATGAGGTTCCACAATGTCCTTTGAAGGCTCATCCCCAGTGACCTAGGAACCCCATCAGACCCCATATTTTAGAGGTCGAGAGTAGCTCCTAATAATTCTATCTGGGGGCCAAAACATTACATGCGGACCTTCGGGGGAACACTCAGATTTCACTGATGGGGAGAAGAGGGTGGAGGTCATGTCCGGAGGGCAGTTGCATTCATGGGAGCTGGCTCTGCTGCTTTCATAATCCTCATCCTAAAATGCTGCACCACCAGCTGCAGGCAGGGCGCTATGAAGCCTTGGCACACTGGGGACGATGGAGACACCAGCGGTGGCCGGCACATGCCTAACTCCAGAATGTTTCTTCACTGCGGTCCTGCTTCCATGATGCTGTGGGGATTGTGTTCGGCACTGGGGACTGGGATCATCCATCTGTGATGCTTGACACGAGGGACCATCCCTGGAGTCAGATCAGGAGAGTGACAGCCTGAGGAACACCCAGACCCCCCTTTCAAGTGTGTGTACCCCTTGCCTTCATGCTGACATGAATTTTGCCTTTTCTTCTTTTTCCACTTCTCCTTTGCCTTCAAATATTTTTGTATTTATGACACGATCACAAAACAGTGTGGTTGGAAAATGTTCACTACACAGAGGATCATAAAATAGTGAGTATCAGTGTCGTCCCTAACCCCATCCTACCTTGCGCCCTTGTGCAGCTATGAGAGGCAAGGTGCACTCGACACACGGTGAGCAGGATGTAAGTAAACCTGTGCACATGTGGGCACATGTGTACCCAGGGCTATTTTAGTTTTATGTGTGTTTTGCATTAATAGAGTCCTAGTATAGGCACAGTGCTGCAGGTTTCTTTATGTGTTGTATAACAGTATGTCTTAGGATTCTCCGTGACCCATTTCTGTGTAGCTCTAGGTAATCTCTTCCCACTGCAGGCGTCGCCATGCTTTGCCTCTCTCACTGTTCCCAGTGGTGCTGCCCTTGGCCCCCTGCACAGCCTCTGGTGCCCAGTGTGAGCGACTCTCCAACAGGTGCCGAGGGGGACTCACGGGCTGCATGGGCCGCGCCTGCTTACGCCATTTTCTAGGCCGGATGCCTGGAACCTCAGTTTCTCTGAGAGATCCACTGAGCTGAGAAGAAATTCCTTTGCCTGGGAGGGGTAGGGAGTGTCGGGCCTGGGCCTGGGTCATGAACTCAGCAAACATACACACACACACCCTCCTATCTGGCCTGCTCACTGGGGAGCCTGACTCTAAGTCAGAAACTGATCAGCATCAGCGTGATGTGTGGATGGATACACACCAGCCCGAGTGCCTGAGGCTGAGCTCTGGTATGGGAGGGAGAGCTTTGCCCCAAGAATTGCCCAGAAGTGTTGAAGAAATGATATGGTTTATGGGCCTCAATTTCTCTATCTTTAAAATGGGGTTGGGAGAGGAAGAGGACTGGAGGGGGAGGCTGGCCACTGTTTCTGGACACTTTCAGTGCTAATCTTCCAGGGCGAGGCTTTGGTTGCCTGCCCCTGATTCCAGCCTCACTGTGGGAGTCCAGACGGAACTGATGTTCTGGAGAGAGCAGAGGGCTGGTCTTGGAGAGGTCACAGCTGGAGCTGCTTGCGCTCTTCCCCTGTAGGCAGCTCTGCTTCCCTGCTGGAGCTGCTGGCGCTGGGACCTCAACGACCTGAAGAGAGTACGTGTCCTGTCCCCAAAGCGGGAAGCCTGGCTGACCCTGGGGCTGTGGCTCAGGAGCCTGCATGGCTGCTCGTGGTCAGGCCTTACCCTCCAGACGCCTGCTTGGGTCTTTGTGCCCGAGGAGTAAAGCAGGGTGGTGAAAGCAAAGTCCCTGAGTTCACAGTGCCCAGGTGCCCAGCCTGACTCTGCGCTACCCTTGTGTCTGAGTCATGTGGGCAGATCACCTTAGTTTCCCTATCTTTATATAAGTGTGTGTGTGTGTGTGGGGGGGGGGAACACGACAGTTTTTCAAGTGAACACATTGAAAAAGCTTGAAGGTATTTAATATAACTTTTTTTTTAGTATTTAATATAATCAATGTCCACGACAAAACAACTTTTAAGGCAAACAACAGTGTTAAATGAATAAGCAGACAAATATATGAATGAGTAGGAAATTAAGAGCTATATTGTGATCATATCTGTGCCACTGGCTCCCTTTAAAATCAGGCACACAGCTATTTCGAATGAAAAGATGATTCTGCCCCACACTCTCCTAGGGCAGGTCCTAGCTTGAGGCTAAAGGTTTAACCTTAATCAGGATTCTCTCACCTCCTCTTCTTTTTGCCTGTCAAAATTCTATCGTTCAGTCTCCTCCAATTCCCTGCTCCATGACGCTTCCCTATTTCCCCTTTGAGAAGTGCTAACCTGCTCCTCAGTCGCCACCGTATCTTTGAACTTTCCTAGTCCAGTGTGCTGTCATCTTAACCAATGGCATGTACGGCAACCATACTTTCAAAAACAGCCACATTCTGAGGTCCTAGGTAGGGATGAGAACTTAGTGTATACATAATTTTGGGAATAAAGTAGTGAGCAAAAAGCAATATGGCTTTCACTTAGTGGCGCTTGACAATCACTGGAGAGACAAAACTAGACATTAATGGAAGAAAAATGCCCATCAATCAATGCAGAAAGAATTAAGATAGATGGAGTTTTCGTAGCCTGAGCAGTCAGAATTTACTGGTGCATTGGCTATAGGGAATCTCTCTATATATAGTAATATATATTATATATTGTATTATGATAGGATCTTCTCAGTTCTATAGATCTATAGTTCTCAGTTCTCAGATCTATAGTTCCTAAAACTATAGTACTTAAATTATTACTACTTCAACTAGAGAGTACACTTTCCAAGAAAAAGTTACTTGTACATCTGAAGTGGCAAACCTGCCACTCTTGGACTAGATTTGATTTGCAGGCACGTTGTCTACCCTGTATAACAGCCGTATAGGACCATAGATCGTTTTTAAAATTAGTTTGTGAGCCTTTCAGAGTCGGGAGGTTTACGCACAGGCTGGATTTCTGGTTCACGGGACTCTAGTGTGCCCATCACCCCTGTTGTTGCCTCAGCCTTGGGACTGGCTGGCTTCACTCATTTCCATCAGTTGCTGACTCTTAGAGCGTTTAAGCACCGCCGAATGTTAAGGAAACAGAAACTATTCGGTGGCGATGGTGATGGTGTGAAATGAAGCCTGGCTGCATTTCCCCTTTTCTTGTAATATACACTGTGAAGTCTGTCTGCTCACTCTTCTCTGTGCGTGGCCTGGCCAAGACGTCTAGTAGTCAGTTCTCTACCTACAACACTGGCATAGCTGATTCCTTCCTTCTTTGAGATATTTTCTTCATTTGACTTCTGAGACACTCTCTGGGTTTACATCTTCCCACCAGCCACTGCTCAGTTTCTTCTGTTGGTTTTCCCCCCTCTCTTATTTCTATAAAGACTAGTGTGTTTACATAGTTGAGTCTTGAGACGTCCTCTATGATCTTTCCTTCTGACCCTCTCTTAGATAATCCCATCTAATCCCACGACTTTTAAAACTGTCCACACATTGATAAGCCCCCATGCAGCCACCTCTGGCTGACGAGTCCCCCTGAACTCCAGACTCCCTGGCCTCTATTCACTTGCATGTACTGAGGTCTCTGAATGTTCTAGGTAGAAAAGCAAACTCTTGGTTTCAACAGACAAAGCTTCTCTTTCTCAGAGTTCAACTTTTCAATAAAATAGATTAATTATTGGATCAGACAAAACTTAAAATCTCTTTCATTGGATTTTTCTCTGTCATACATTCTGTATATGAATATGTCTTTTGTGATGGTTCATTTTATGTGTCAAGTTCCCCAGGCCATGGTACCCAGCTGTTTGATCAAATACTAGTTTAGATGTTGCTGTGAAGGAATTTAGGAGGGAGCAGATCCACTGTGATATGACAATGTCATAAACAGGCTGGCGGTGTGGCTAGGTGTTACAGCATTCACCAAGCATGTGCAAGGCTCTAGGCTTGAACTCCAGTACCATTAAAGAACAAAGAAAGAAAGAAAGAAAGAAAGAAAGAAAGAAAGAAAGAAAGAAAAAAAGAACAAACTGTAATGCACTTAATACACCTAATCTGCTGCACAATCTAATTTAACCATACAGTGTCCCGTTGGGGATGGACTGTTAATCCTCGTGGTCCTGTGGCCGACAGGGAGCTATGGCTCACTGCTACTGCCAAGCATGGACACTGTCACAATTTGGCCTGCAGCTGCTGCTTTCACTGACCTCATCTCAATGTGCTTCCCTGGCTCACTAACCTCCTTCACACGCCAAGTGACTTCCTGCCGCAGGACCTTTGCTCTTGTTGCCTTCTCTGCCTGGAATTTGTTTATTTAAATAAATCAGTCTCAGTTATTTAAAAGCAGAGCTGCATTGGTTTCTTGCATCTCAAGGTGAGCAGTGATTTCCTCAGTAAGGAACTCTTTGTTTTAGACTTGCCCACATGTGCACGTCAATCCAGTAGCTCACACATAACATCCTCTATGGCAGCTGGCCTGCGGAATCCTTCCAAAGGTTGGCCTTGCCCATGTATAGTTTCTGACTGTCCCTGCCACCATAGATGACGCATGTGCAAACATATCAAGAGAAATGATAAGTCTGAGTACCTGTTTGCATGTGCAAGTTAGACCATGGTTTCTCATCTCATACATTTCTGAGTTTTGGGATGGTTCTAATGGAACACTTAGTCTTCCATCTGGGGCCCATGCTATTCAGCTGGGCTTTCATGAGGGAAGGCCAAGGGACATAATAAATAGATGTGCAAAGAGTAAACATCACACCATAGTGTGATCAGTGAGACCCCCAACCTTCCCTACTCGGATCTCTTCCCTAGGGCTCCACCCCCAGCCTTCCCTACTCAGGTCTACAAGTAGCCATGGGCTCTGAGGCCTCAGTAACGGACCACCCAGGCTTTCCATGTGCATCCTGGTAGTCGCAGGAAGGAACCCTTCTATGAGAAAGGTGATGTTCCTTGTCGTAGAGTCAACTAGATATCACTCAAGTGTTGAATCTGATATGTGTGTGCATGTACATGTGTGCATGCCTGTATGTGTGTGTCCCTGAGCCTGGTGTTCATAAGGAGAGGGGTGAGGGGTTCTGAAGCTGACATTGGTAAGTGTGTGTGTGGGGAGTCCCTGAACCTGACATCATAAATGGGAGAGTAAGATAAGTTAAGCCTTCATCCATTCCCTCAACCAAGAAGAAACCCTGCTGCCCACTGATGGGGCCATTATGCATTTACATAAAACATTGTATAAGGAGTGCCCGGCTTATGCTAAACACTACATGCCTGCAATTCAAGATCAGTCAGCATCAGAAACGTAAATCTATTTCTGATACCCAGCCCTGAGGCTGCACCAAAGTGAGCTGTGAATGCTGCTGACTCTTTGGATGAGTGTGACTCTCATCCCGTCCCTCTCATTGTGACCCAGTGCTCCTCACCGAGCATAACTCAACCAGACCACTGCCTTCCTTAATGCCTGTGAGACTGACCCAGGCTCTGCCTCCAGGGAGCCTGCAACCCAAGCTCATCAGCATCCCGCCTCCTCTGACCCTCACTTTATGTTGGGGCTGCTCTCCACCAACCTTTGCTCTGCACCTGCAGGGAACGCAGAGTGAGCAGGGATCCTTGAGCTTGGCTGTTGGATCGGACATGCCTCTGTGTAACCTTGTAAGGAATTGCTTGTCCTTTGAGTGATCTCCTTGGAGATTTTTCTGAAATTCAGCCACACTGTGTCAACTGCATTGCCTGCTTCATTGCCCGTCTGAAACAGAAAAGAGGTTAGTCTTGTGAGACCAGTTTTTCATACAAACCTGTGGCTTTAAATATATTTGGTTCTCCAGTCCCTTGTCTGTGCAGTGTTGAGCTATATCAGGTGATTTCTTGGATTTCTACCCACCAAGGCCTTTGGGAGCCAGCAGCAGGGGGACAGCGTGCTCTCCAATGCTGTGAGATGCTGTGCCCTAGCGTGATAGCCAGGAGAGGTGTTTGCAAGGAAGGGATGGGTGGAGATGACTTTCCAACTGCTCACATGGGAATCCACCTCTGGGCCAAGTCAGTCAGGGAGCAAGACCTTGATTTCTGGGATGCTCTCTGCCTTCCTCCCCCCTGCCCTGACAGCCCCCACAGAAAACAAACTATGTATCTCAACCCCAGAATGTAAGGAATGTGCCATAGCCTGATGGGGATAGAGCAGTCCACAAAGCAGCAGGGAGGAGCTCAGCTCCCCAGGCTGGGGCCTGACAGTGCAAGGACTATCAAGCCTGCAGGCTGGGCGGCCCCTCCCACTCTCCCTCTGCAGCCCGGATATCAAAGGCTGCATTGTGCACTGAGTGGCCTTGGTCCCTCGTGTGCCAGAGAGGAGGCGGGAGGAGGGACGCCTATGAGAGCCTCCTCAAGCTCTTTTGGCTGCTGTTCCCAGGGGCCTTGGCCCGGGGAGGATGGTGTACACATGGGTGGCTGCTTCTGCATCCCCGGGGAGCGGAGTCTGTCCTGGGGCTCAGGTGAGTTTCCTGCAAGGTTCTGGCCCGTGCCTTGGCTAAGCTGGTTGGGCTGAGGAAGAGGTCCTTCCAAAGATGAAGAGACCTCTGAGCTTTATGATGGCCTCTCTTCCTTCCCTAGGTTGGACGTGTTATCCTGGCTTTGTAAAGAGGGAGCGAAGTCTGGCTGGGAGGTGTCTACTTCTGAGGAAAGAGGCTTTGAGCTTGCTCTGCCAAGGGGGAGTGAGGCGGCCTTGGCTGCTGCTGTTAGGGTGTGACTAAGCCCTTCCTTCCTTTTCTCCCAAGATTCCCTAAAACAGGAAGAGGGTTTCAGCAGCGAGTTCCTCTGCGACCTATGGGTGGACATAAATCTGGCCTTAGTCACTCAAACCTATTTTTGTCGGTGTTACTCCTGCTGGAGAAAAATAGGCAGTTTCCTGCCTCCTGCCTTTTACAGTGGTTTTCGGCATGTCAAGCTGAAGGCGTAGGGGGCTTCTGCTCTGAGAAGCTATCAAGTCGTTTGAGACTGGACACAGGTGGTCAGCTACCCTTATTTGCCCAGGACAGGGGGCTTTCTTGTAATGCAGTCAGACTAAACTTGACAGTCACAAGCAGACTAGGATGATTTGCCACCTTGATCTAAACTCTGTGATTCTTTTCACAGCAGAACCAGGATGGGGTCTTATGGTCTCTTACAGGATGTTTATCAGGATGGGTGGTGGCTTTGGGGGAATGTGGGAATGGATTAGAACAGGACTTGCTAGGGAGATAGAGGAGTATTCCTCCACAGAATCACCCCACATCCTAGTTGGGATCCTGTGTCATGCTGGAGTGCCACCATAGTTCCTGAGAGCCAGCATAGGAGCACTCCCTGCCATGGGCTTTCACTGTCTGATGGTTGGCTTTGCCCTATAGACTCATAATCAGGGCTTTAGAAGGCATTTGCAGTCCTTACAGTAAACACCTTACAAGTACCTAGGCTGGAAGTCTCAGCCTGGGGACCTTGGCACCCACACAAGGATTGCCTTCCAGAGCAGCCCCATGCCTGGACCTAAACTATAAAGAAACCCCATATAACAACCTTGGCACAAAAGTTATGAAAAATATCTTAGCTGTTGTTTCTCTCATTTTCTGGGATTTACATGCTTTTCAGACCCTTTCTCTAAATCCTATTGTATCTGTACCTCACGAGACTGGACATAGTGTGGGGAGGGTGCAGGATCACTGGCCTGGAAGTCAAGGACTTGAATTGTGAATCTGGCTCAGTCTACCTGCAGGGTCATCAAAGTTAATAACCTGGTCTTTGGGGCCAAAATAATTGGGTTTGATCTCGGTCCTTTTACTTGCCTTGAGTCATTTATTTAACTTCTCTGTGCCTTTGTTTCTTTCTCTATAGATTTTACAAAATAATTACGCTTTCTTAATAGGATTGTGGTGAGGTTAAGTCTGCATGTGATATGCTTGAAGCAGCTTGACACACAGTTAATTAAGCACAATGAATGTTAAGCCTTGTTTTTCTATTTTTCTGACCCTAGCAAGCCACATTCTTTCTCAGCGCTTCATTTAGTCATCTGTTAAACTCAGGGTGGTTCACTGCTGGTGAGGCTGCCTCAGGGAGCTCTGCTCCGTCACCTCACCCCAGTGTGACAGAGACTGCATGGAGAGCACGGTTCTGCAATGCAACACAAAGGAACCAATATTAAAGATGATGTCTTCTAATTACTTTATTCTTTCATCTACGTTTTGCCACTGGCAACTGGTTGGCCCTCTAGATTCGCTTTGTCATGAAGAGTTGGCTTATTATTTATTTCTGTGGAAGCTTCTCACGCCGATCCCACGTTGCTGTCCAAGAGCATTAGGTCCTTTCTCACGGGGCTGGTAGAGGTGTCAGTGTTCTGAGGCCAAGTGACATCAGCTTCCCCAATCTAGCTCCTCCTGTGTGTTCCAGAGAAATGGGACAAAGTCTGAGCTGCCTGCTGGGGTGACTAAATAATTGTGTGATCTTGGGCAAGTCTCACACACGCTGTGAACCTGAGCTCCTATGGCTGTACATGGATGGGGTGATAGTCCTAGCGCAGGAAACTTTTGTGAAGATTAAATGCGAGAATTCATTTCATGGACTTGGCACAGTAATTGATGGCAGTTTTTTGGTAGCTGATAGAGACCACACCCACTTCCTTTCTTCCCAACTCCTGACTCCACTGGAGGAAGAGCTCCCGCTCATGCTCCTGTGGCTGCTTCTGGCACCGTGCCTGCTTAAGTGGGAGTTAGGAGTGCCGACCAAGCTGAGCATTCTCAGAGGGAGGCGGGACGGGGGAAGGCTCGGGACAGCCTGCAGCTGGGACAGCTGCCTGCCTGGCTTGTCATGGTGTGGCAAAGGTCAAGGTTGGCTCTGCCCACTCAGGCAGGCTGCATTCTCATGTGTGGACCCTGTTTGTGGCGTGTGTTCCTCTGGTATCTCTCGTTTGCTCGGAACCTCCCATTTGCACATAGTAAGAGGGTGGGTTTTTGGTCAATGGCCATTACCTCTGACTCCCCTTTGAGTTTCTTGCCATTGCTTTTGAACTAGAATTGGTCACCTCAGGTCACAAAGAAAGTCCTGTCAGAGTTCCTTGGACAAAGAACTCCTATCTTATCTGTAATACCTTCCTGAAGGTATTGGCAGAAATTCTTAAATAAAATATGTGAAGATTCATTTGTCTACATGGATCACTTATGTTCCTAACGTTCATTTTGGTGAGTGTAATTATTAGTAAAGTAAAGAAATCAAGGGCGATACTGACAAGTATGAGTGATGCATCACGTTTATAATTTAAAGGAATCTTGAAGCATTTTGAACCCAGTGGTAATACAGAATATTAGAATAATAAATCCACCATCTACTTTAATGGATTTCTGCTTTCTACCATCTTGGCTTGAAGAACTTGTTTTTTTTATCGTGCTTTTTGAAGGAAAAATTTACAGATAAATTAAGATAGTCTAGCTCATTACAATCTTTTTCCTCTTTCACCAAAGTTAATCTCTTTTATGAATTCAGTAATTCTGTGCTCTTGCTACATATTCATGTACTTAACAATCGTTTTAAAGAATTGTTTTACAGACTCTTTAACTTCAGGAAAATGATACCATTACACAGTTTGATTTTTCATCTCCTCAACATTATGATCTGAGATATATCCCTGCGGATAGATTTAGCAGTAGTTCTGATTTGATATTTGCCCCAGAAAGGAGAATGTGGGCTTACATTATAAAAACTTCTGTGGTATGCTTGTTGGGCCAAAGCAGAAGAAATCTGTAGGTGGAGAAAAAAAAGATAATGTTCACTGTTTAGTTTCCTTCTTTAAGTGGGGCGTGGAGGTGGACAAGTAGGAACAGAGAAGCCAAGAAAGGAGAAAAGAAAGCAAATTCTCACTTCCAGCAAGTTTCTCTATGTGGGATGCTGTCCTGACCTTAGTCCTTAGAATTCCTAGGTCAGATAGTGAGGTGGAGACAGCAGTCTGCACTCAATGATCTGGACGAGCTCTGATTCGTGCTCACTTGCTGTGTGGCCTGAGTAAAATAACACTCCTTTGTGGCTCTGAGTTTCTCAGCAGTGAAATTAGGAGTGGAACTGATGATCTCTTAATCCCTCCCAGTGGGCATTTTCTGTAATTATTATCTCCTTCCTACTTTTCTGTCATTTTCAGTATCAAGAAACTTTCTCTTTTCTTACTTGATTTTAAAAATTTTCTTGTTAGTATGTGTTTGCAGTGCATAGTGATGCACTTATCATGGGAAGTTGGTACATGAACATAACACATCTTAAGGCTTCTTTGGGGGGGCTCTTCTATTCCTCCCATATCTCCCTGCTCCTCCCATCTCCTGTACCCCTTTTCGTTTGAAAAAATATCTCTTTTGCTTTTTATATACATATTTTTCTAGTTTTTCATAGATGAGAAACCATGTGATATTTCAGATTGTGTATCTGATTTTTTTCTCTTACTATTGTGGTCTTCATGTGCACCCATTTATTTACAAACGCCTCAAGCTTATGCCTGTCTATGGCAGAGTAGTACTTTGTTGTCTGTGTCACACAGTATCGTTTACTCTGTTCCTCGCTTCTCATTGCTGAGATCACAGTCCACAGTAGCTTTGCAGTTGGCCTCTCCCATGTGTCCTGCTTCCCGACTGCCCCAGGCCAACCTAGAACACCCACTGTTACTGTGCCCTTCCTGGGCTCAAGAACAATTGCACTTGTTTGTAAAAATTTACCACTCGTACAAACAAGTGCTTGGAATCTCACAGCATGGTGAATTCTCACAAGGTGAATGTAGGCATCCATATTGTTTTATGCAGCTGTAATTAATTCATACTTCTTGAAGGATGTGTTTAGTTACATGTAGCATCATATGCTTGTCCTTTCTAGTGTAAATGGGCATTTGGGTAGTTGCCAGGGTTTGCCAGTGCTTTCTGAATATTTTGGTAGATGTTTTCTGAACATATGTATGTTATTTTGGGGGTATATATGTAGGAATGGAATTGCTGGGTTTTAATGTATGTACATTTTCAGCTTGAATTGATACTGCTGGTTTGCCAGTGAAAAAATTTTGAATTTGTTCTCTCACTTGCAGCATATGGGATTTCCAGTTGCTCTGGATCCTTACAAATATTTGTTATTACCTATTCTTTTCATTTTAGCTTGTCTGTGTGGCAATGTTTCATTGTGGTTTTAAATTTTATTTCTCTGAATTAAGCAAATTTTATATATTTATTGACTACTTGGGTACTGAGTTTCATGAAATATGTATTTAAGCTTTTAATTCCTTTTTCTAGAGGATAGTTTATCTGTTTCTTAAAGATTTTAGCATTGTTTATACGCTCTAGGTTCCAGTTCTTTAATGCCTATATGTATTGTTAATATTTTCTCCTATTCTGCCACTTGATTATTACTCTCTTAATTTCATCTTTTGATTAACAGAAGTTCCTAAGCTGAATGTATTATAATTTATTCATGATAATATTATTATTTATATATTTATAATTATTTATATAATTATTTATTTATTATAATATTATAATTTATTCATAATTTTTCCTGGTTAGGAAATCACTAGCAATTTCTAGTCATGCAGGTTGCCATCTGTACAAGTTCTCCAGGTTTCAAAGTAAATTCAAGCCCCTGGGTTATATAAAATATTTTGATTTTTAAGTGAGATTAAGCACTTCAAACTAAAATTTCACAGCGTGAGAGGAAACCCCCCCAGATGAATTTGCTGTAGCCTCTCATCAAATTCCCTCCTAGAGAAGGGAGCAAGGGAGTCTCCAACTCTGGGCCTGGAATCTGCAGCAGAAGCATCCTCTGAGAACACACTAGAAAAGCAGAACCTTGACTTTTAATTACTGATGCAGAGAACAAACAAACAAACAACTACCCCCCCAAAAAAAACCCGCTAAAAAACCAAACCAAATAAAGAAACCTATGATCACACTATACATTACAAAAATCAGAATATCTGGACATAAAGCCTAGGCATTGGTATTTTTAAAAATGCAACCTTGGCAATTCCAATAGGCAATGAAGGTTCAGTACCACTAAGTTAGGACAGTCTTTCATTTTTAAATAAATGAGTACATTTAAAACCCTTTAAGAAGCAAACAGGCGCAGTGTCTTGATTGAGGTCAGTTACTGTAGGAAGATCTCACTTGTTCACATTCTCCTCTCTCGTGGTGCCCAAGCCAGTGCTTTTTGCTTCAGTTGCTTCAGGTTCCTGGAGGGCAGAACTACAAACTGATGCTATTCAACCATAGCTCATGACTGCAGCTTTCCAGCTAAGCTGCTTAGCCCTCCGCCTTGCACATCTGGCACTCATTGGATCAAGATTCCATGAGCAGATGGGTCCCTCCTTCTGCCTATTCAAGCAGACATTTATTTCATTCTCCCTGTGTGCCTCCCTGCAAAGTGCTAACTCTTTTTACTTGAAGAATGGGAAGCACCTCCTCTCAGATGTCAAAATCCCCCTGCTTTGTCACAGTGGAGACTGAGCCTCCTGACAACAGGGTAAGGATTGGGCTCAGCACTAACCAGCAGTGAGGGCCACTGCTTCGTTCCTGAGGTGCTCTTGGGCTGCGTCACTAGAGCAGAGGTGCACAGGACCTGATCGTGCTACTTACCTCTGACCACAGTTTTCCCAGAAACTGGGGGAATTTAATTCTTGAGCAGCTTCATGATCAAAAGGACCAATTCCAGCAACCAGCATTAGTGTGTTCAGAAGCTGTGCTCTCTTATATGTCGGGGATAATGCGAAACTGTGTTCCCGTGTATTTTGGAGATAATATGAAAGAGGCCCACCTTCTATAGCTATCCTTGTGAAAGCTCCGCATTATTTTTTATCAACTTCCTTGAATTTTGGAGCCACATTCTTTTTTTTTTAAAATTTTTTTTTATCAGTACCGGGGATCGAACTCATGACCACCTGCTTGCAAGGCAGGTTCTTATGCCACTGAGCTAAATTCCTACCCTAGAAGCCATACTCTTGTTTTCAGCTTTCTATCATCAAAATTACACTGCCCTCAATCTCCCTCTCTAGCCTGTGTCTTAATCATCTTTCTTGTCCTTTTTTTATCTCTATGCCTGCAATGACAGGAACTTTTTGGAGAGATAGTAGTTGAAAAAAGCAGTCCAGAGTCAGTCACTCATGTCAGGGCCATTGCAACCCTGCCTGTTAGAGTCTCTCTAACAATGCCATTCCCCAAAATTCTTCTCTATGCCTCCTGTTGCTCAACCATTGGGCTTAGACCTTGTAGTCAGAACCATAAAGACCTGTGTAGGCTCCAGCTCCATGTACGCTGAACACCTTTTGGGTACTATACCATGAGGTTTGGTTTGGTCTGTAGATAGGAATTGACACCCAGGCTGCTGCATAGTTAAGAGACCATATAGGACAATGCTTTGAAAATAGCTGGCTATATGCATCGATTTAAGGCAATGATGATAAGCATGAGAACTTTTCACCCATCAGTCCTGGAAGAAACTGGCAATTGATCAAAACTTTGAGTCCATGTTTTCTCCTTGCTTAAACTCTTACAAATTGTCTTTCATCTCACCTTCTCCAGGCAAAGAAAGTCCTTCCAAGGATCCAACCATATCCAGTGAGTGTATAGCCTCTCCTGAATCTCGGGGAAAATGTTTCCTGCCACAGAACATGATACCAGGTATCTAAACACCAAAGATAAGTGCTACATGAACAAAAATACTTCTCTTGGAATATTTCAATAGCCTTATTATCTCTCCTATCTGTAGACTCCCTCTCTTTACCTTTGCAGGGTACTGTCACCAAATGTGTCTTTGTAACCACAGCTTTTTCTTTTTTATCAGTACCGGGGATTGAACTCATGACCACACACTTGCAAGGCAGGAGCTTATATACTTGCTAGCTTACAAATCTATTACTTTCCATACCCAACAATTTCAATTTAAACTTTCCCCAGCTTGTATTCAAAGCTTTTCACTGTCTGCCACATATTTTGAGTTCCATACAAGTTTTCCAGACTAGAGAAATTTATCATCATTCAATTTTAAGATGGTTGGATTAATTTTTAAAAATTATGTATTTAATATTGTACTTCAAGGAGTTGTTTATATTTAGTTGGTGCTCAGGAAATGTTTGATAGGTACATGGATGGTTGGATGAATATGTGGTAGTCACATTTATATTCTCTACAGTGTCTATACACTACCTTCCTTGTTGTAGGTCCTGAATAAATATTGCTATATAAATGAGTAAATGAACCAAGGGTTGAATATATAGGATGAGGCTTCCCGAGCAGAAAGGCATTTAAATGAATTTTTCAAAAACAGAAAAAGATTTGGAAGGCAATGAGGGAAAAATCTCATTTTCAGTATGTGTCTCACACGAGGTCCCCTTTAGAAAACTTCAGTGAATCTCATGAGAAGAGAGTTGTCATTAGAGAAAACCATGCCTGGGCTGAGTTCTGCACCAGAAATTCTGAGCACAACTCTGTAGAAGGTGTGGTTTCTGTCATCCAGCAGTGGGGACCATTTCTGAGGACAAATCATGTGTCCACCATTCGCTTCCATGTTCCTCCTACCTCGGGGGCTCACCTCTTGTGGAGGCACCTGGATCCTAGATAACAGGTGTGAACCAGAGACCCTGAGAGCGAAATGACTTAATTGTCACACAGGTAGTCTGTGATCAGCAAGAAAGGGGTTTGAATCTTGTTTGTAACCACCATGCACCGTTAAAGATAGGCTTTCATCTTCTAAGAATATACTTGTCCCTGCAATATAAAATATAGACTTGTGAAAAAACTGCTAGACTTTGAATCTTTAAGCAATACAAACCATGTAAACAGAGATGGTATAATTTTGTCATGCTAGGTTCTTTTAGTCCCAGTTTCAAATTCTGTCAAACTGCTTGGTTGATAATGAGAAAAATCATATGCTTTGCTCTTTTGCTATTGTGTCAGTCTGCTTCTCATCTGTCAGCTTGGGATATCCCTGAAAAAACCTAAATTGCCATCTGTTGTTTGATGAACGCAGAGGAGTCAGCGTTTTTTGCCTTATGAATGCATGAAAGCCAGTGAACACGGGACATCTTTAGGTGAAGCTAAACTGGCTGAAGGCTGAACTTGTTCCTCTCAGCATTTTCTGCCACGAGGCTGATTCCAGGATGGTCAGGGTGTGAGAAGGAGAGCCTGGGTGCTAACTGCCAACCTTTCCTTTATGCAGAACAGCAGGGACAGAATTAGGTAGATGCATTGTCATGAGTACCGGCTTCCAGAAGATTAAAATATGGTGCACTAAGTTCATACTAAAACTCAAAAGAGCCTGATTTCCTGCTGCATTTGGTGTTGAACGGGGTGGGTATGGTAAGGTCCTAGCTACACAGACAGAGGCTCTGCTCTGAGTGTCCATCTCACTGGCTGGGTTCTCAAAAGCAGTTTGTTTACCCACACAAGTCCTTTTGGTTTTGTTTATGTGGATTCACAGGCACAGCAGTGAGATTCATCCCATCAGGGCTACCAGGTAACGAGACTATTCCCAGAAAGACTCTAAGAGGGATTTGGATCGGATTTTAGGAGGAAAGAAAAATTTAGCTTGGCAGAAAGAAATCGCAGGGAAGTTATCATCAAGGTCATGATCAGTTGAGGACAGTCACAAGCAGTTTGAAAGCTGGGTTGGGATGGGGAGGAGAGAAACAGCCGATGCTCAATGTGCATACTGAATACTTAACATGTGCCACACACTTAGTAAAAAGTTTACATGCATATATGGCCGAGTAAACCATTTAAGCCCCTGTACGCTAAGCCCCAGCAAAGCCATTTTGCTATTAGAGAAAATCAGGTGCAGGGTGGTGGTTAATTGTTCTGGACATTATTGAGGGGCAGAGCCGAGACTTGAACTCAGGCCTGACTTCTCCCGGGGTTTGTGTTCATGATGGGCCTCTTCCTGAAGGTCAGTATGCAGTGATGCTACCAGATTGGGGCTGGGCAGGCGGCTGGAGATTGCGGAGGACCTGAGCTGGAGAAACAGCCACTGACTTGCACATCAAAGTCATTTGAGCAAGTTGTGGGGAGCTCCTGTATGCCATAGCCTTCTGGGCCCTCTAGATCACAGACAGGCCTTTAAAGGTGAGAGTTGGGGTGCTCTGTGGACCCCGACAGGGCCTGTTTCTAACAGCTCAGGAATTTGTGAAGTTCCCGGGCAGTAGGAACCAGAAGAGACCTCTGAAAAATCATCATGTCCAGTGTGTTCTCTGATTATTGTGTTGGATAGTTGCTAAGGAGATTGCTGTTTGTTGTCTGAAGAAGACACATGTGAACAGGGCAGTCCTGTGTAAGGTGAACTCCGCAGTGTGGCACTTTCTAGCACAACTCTAAAGGCATCTGCCCTCCCACAGCTGCTCTGTGACTGTTTCTTGACTCCGTATTTCTTATTCATAGCACTTTCTCTATCTGAAATGAATGTGCTTGTGGAATTAGTTATTTGCCAAGTAGAATTCAAACTATATGAGAGTGAAGTCCACGTCCACCTTGCTCCCTACTGTAACCTCAGCACCTAAAGCAGTTTCTGAATTTGGGGCTCTCAAATGAATATTTATTAAATGAATGTGCACTCTAAAGAAATTGAAGATAAAACTTTCACACATTAGACATTTATTCTGACAAACATCAGTAAATGAAACAAGTGCAAAAGCACGTAGGTGTTCAATGTTTGTGGGTGTGGCTCAGTGGTAGAGTGTGTGAGTGGGGCCCTGGACTGATCCCTACTGAGGTAAAAATGACAAAACCAGGTCAGGGAAAGTATATTTGTGTATGTATACGGAGTAAAATATGCAATTTCTATTACGTACTATATATTTGAAATATAAATGCATATTCTTAATTAAGGATAAAGTAGTGTTCATTCAAAACTTTCACAAATCGTCTGCTGGAAACAATATAGATATCCTAGTTGGTCCTTGTTAGCACCAAAGCGGAAATAACCGATACCAGTTAACTCCGGGCTTTCCTGAGCCCCAGCGGGGTCCATCGTGCCCCTCCCTGCACCTAGAGAAGGACAGTAAAGCTGTGCGTGGAGGCTCTTTAAGTCCACACCAGTCTGCGACTACTGAGGACAAGAAGTTAGGATTTAGCTAGACGTGGCGAAACGTGGAGGGGTTTTCTAATGCTCTCTCCTCTTGCGCTGCATGAGCGCGTGCAGTCTGCTGCTTCTCCTTGCTCTCTCTCAGATCTGACGCTGTCCTTCTGCGTGAAGAGCCGCTCCCGGAGGTGCGTCAACGGAGCCCTGCAGGAAGCTGCGTGCAGGCGGCTCTGGGCGCTGGAGAATGAGGACCAGGGCGCTCGCACGCTGTTCAAGGTGAGCGCGGAGCAGAGAGGGACCCTCAGCGCTGAGCTCCTGTCTGCCTGCTTTCCCTGAACCTAGGACAGGGCCTGCAACAGAGTGAGTCCTGGAGAGAAAACACTGGGCTGACAAGGCTGGCAGAGAGACCAAAGGATTGCCTACACGTCCTCTGAGCAAACAGGTGCTGTGCACTTCTTAACAGGAAGGACCAGAAACTGGGACCACCTGGAGTTGCTGGGTCAGAGTCAAATCTGCCACTGTTCGTTTATGACCGTTGCAAGTTATTTAAACTCTGTAGAATGAGACTCATAGAACCTCATAACGTGCTTTTTTCTAATGTAGTAATTTTGAATTTTATTTTTGTTACTGAGACACAATCTACGTAACATAAAATTTTCAGTTTAATCATCTAAGTCTACATTTCACTTATATTTGGTACACTCACAAACAATACACTCCAGAACTGTTATATCATCTCAAAGTCAAGCTTTGTACCCAAAAACAATAGAGTCCTACAGTCTCTATTTTCTCCAGACTCTGGTAACCACTAAGCATAGATTTTATTCCATTAAAAAACTGGTTTTGGTAGTGCCTGGAGCTTCACACATGGTATAACCAAGTGCTCTCTGCCTGAGCCACACTCTGGCCTGCGTTAACTGCTCTAACTGTTCCAAGGAAAATTCTGTCTCAAGACCCACCCCTGCCATCCAGCCCTGAGCTGCTGAGAGGACAGGGAGGGCCCAGCCAGATTCACATCAGGGATTCTGGTCCTTGGGGCCTCACTTGAGCAGGACGTTTTAACTCATTCCCTTTTGGATGTTTCAAAGGCCTCCTGAGCTTCCTCTGGGGCAACTCTCGGGGTGACAGAGGCTTTACATTGCCATTGCCATTGGCCACGAGTTGCAAGATGGAAACGCACCCTTAGTGTACACCTCTTCGATGGCTGTGTGCACAGAGGCACACCGGTCATCTCCAACTCCAGCCCCACAAGCACCAGGTCCGCGCTGAGGAGCGGTGCAGACACCCTCCTGGATGGTGCTCTCTGCCCCTGTGCACTTGATGGAGACTTCTGGTCTGCTCCCCAGCAGGACCTTTCAACTGGTCATTATCAAAGTGACCACCTGGCCTAGTCAAGGTCCTCCTTGAAGACCTTGTACCCCGGCGAGATCCCACTTGGCCAGCAGGCATGGATTCCCACAGAGTGGCTCCAGCAGGTCCCTTCTCAAGGGTGATACTGTCAGGAAGCTTGGAGCAGAAGTCAGTGTCACATTTGCAGAACATTTTCCATCATGGGGTGGGGGTGGCAGAGAAGATGGGGTGACAGATTTCATCTGCTGATGTTTCAGAATTCATTTGTTTCTTGGAGGTAGGGAAAGCCCAGGCTCTGTGGCAGTGGTTTTAGGTGCTTTACCAGCGACACCGCTTTCATGACTGTCCCCAAGCCTTCATGCTCCGGTGCCATCGGCTTCTTCCCAGTAAAGCCCTCAAATCCACCCACTGCCAGCAGAGCACATCTGAGTTGCAGATTCCGACAACGCACACCTCGTGTGGGCCTGGTTCAGGGCTGGGAGAGTTCTCCAGGCCCCTGCCCCTGGGTCAGTGCCCCACCAGGGGCAAGTTTTCAGCTCAGCTGCCACAGTCATGTAGCTCTGGGGCTCCAGGTGGTAGAAACTGGAGTAAGTGGGGCTCTGCAAGTACAGATTGACAGACTGATTGATTGCAGTACTAGAGATTGAATTCAAGGCCTTCATACTGAGCTACATATAAAGATCTATATTATATATAGATTTTTTACAGCAACAAAATTGCCAATCAAAATCCAATAACTACACATAGCAGGAAGGGAGGAGAAAAAAACCAATAAATTAAATGGTTTCCTCATTTTTCATAGTGGGTAGATAATATCTTTGATTGTTAAGCTGGGAAGAAAGTTATGACCAGTGTTTGCAGTTCAGGAGGTACTAACTAGAAGAACTAAAACCAGAAATGGGTAGAATTTGTTGCAACTAGCAGTGGGAGAAGGAGAATACTGCTTTACATAGTGAATTGATATGTTCTAGTTAATTTTATAGTGTCTGCATTAATTGTATAAAATGAAAAGAAAAAAAGTGCCACATCATGTAGCAAAAAATGTTTGATTTTTCAGGAAATGACAATGAGATAGTATTTATCAGGAGCTTGGTATTGTACTTGGGTGGTCAATATGTATACTATAAATAGTAGCTAGGAGTTTAATTTTTTATTTATGATGTTTAATCCCTGGAATCCAGGAATGTGAAGGCACTGGCTGCTGATCCATGCAATAGATTTTCCTTCATTTGGGCCACTCTGGGTGTGGGCGGGGCTTGACTGAGTCAGCCAACCCAATGGGCCAAGCCTTGAGCTGGGTGTGTGTGGGGATAGGGCTAAGGCCCAAAGTCAGCTTGACCTAAGAGATGGTCAGAGCTCCGCATTTTACTTATTGTAAGTCACACTGGGCAACCAACTTCATCTCTCTGTGACCTAGCGTTCTTGAGTATAACATTACAATCATGTCATTTTTCATTAGGTCTAGTACATCATTGATAATAAAATGCTTCATTATTTTGTGTATCTCCAAGAGAAAATAAATGTTGTGAGTTAGATACGATGCCATGCTTCTTTACTGTTTGTTTTAGAAGTGATTAAAATTACAAAACATATATATAGTTACAAAAGCATATATATAGAATGCATTAACTACTATAATAGTATTCTCTTCATAGGATTATTGTGGGAGTTAAAGGAGGTATTTCTTTAAAACTCTTGGCAAAGTGACTGGCATGTAGTAAATTGTTTGCATATAAATTTTTACCCAGCAACCCAGCACTCCCAGCACATCCCAGATACAGGATGATAACACCTGTATCAGCCAAAGGTTTGGGACCTTCTAGGATCTGGTATGAAGGAAACTGATACTGGAGTTTGCTCTTTTTTTTTTTTTTTTTTTTGTCTTTTTCCTTTTTATCGGTACCGGGGATGAACTCACGACTGCCTGCTTACAAGGCAGGTGCTTATGCTGCTGAGCTAAACCCCCCTTGTTTTGGGTCTTTCTATCCCTTCCTTTCCTCCCTAAGTTTCCCTCAGGATAAGGGTCTGGGATTGATTTTGACTGGAGAACCTGGTCTTGGGGATTTTCTTTTTCCTTTTTAAGTAAGAAAGGGTTGTTATTATCATTTAGCCAATAAATAATTAATTAATTAATTAATTAAAAATAAAAATAAATAAAAAAGTACCTTTTTGAGGGACCTAAAAGATTTGGATAAGTGCTTGTCATTTGAGTTGACTACTGGGAAGTAAATCCTCATACCCAATAAATTAAAATATCAATCTTTTGTTATCTTACCAGACTTGGTGGGGCTTATTTTTCTCTAAGAAGGCCTTAAACCCTAAGGGCTCAGAGTTTAAGAAACCTTTACTGATTCCTTTCATTCTTTTTTTAAAATTTTATTTTAAAGAGGATAAAACCAAAGAAAATAAAACAATAAAATCAATCAAAATAAACTAGTGTAAGTGATACAGGACTTCAAACGCTTATGAAATCAGCAATAGTTACCATAATGCCTTTTGATGTCTTCAAAATAGCTACAAATACCTTCGGACATAACAAAAATCGAACAGAACAGAAGTACAGTAGAGTAGAGTAGAAATAATAATTTAAAAATAATTTAATAATTTAAAAAACAATGACTGCAATAAAGAACTTCAAAATAAGCTAATAGTAAATCCATAGTGGCTATCATAATATGTCTTGCTATCTTTTAAAAAGTTGTTCCTGCCATCAGATTTAACATAATCAAACAAAACAAAAGAGAATAAAACCTAACCCAAGAAAACAATGAAAATGATATAGTTTCCAGGCGGGGATCACCTCCTGGGAAGGCCTGGCACCCCACCCCACTGCAGTCCACAAATGGTGCTGACTCAGGGAGAAAGGCTTGGGTGTGGCTGTCCCCACTCCCGCATGCACATGGCACTGGTTTGGGGGGGTGTATCACCTCCTTGTGGACCTGGTTCTCTACCCCTTACAGTCTGTTAAACCTGATTCCTTTCTTTAGCAGCCTCCAAGAACCCTAGAGTCAGTACTTTTGTGAGGTGGGTTCTGACTGTCGTAATTTGATCATTCAATTCCCATGGAGAACAGAGAAGAGTTTAGGGAAAATCAAGACTGGGCAGTGATTCAGGCCTGTTTTTTCAAGTATTAAAAAAACAACAGACTTGTGGTCCTCTTTCTTTGCTTGTGACTGGAAGAAGTTTTCTGGTCGGGAAGGCCAGTGGACGCCTGTATTTTGGGGTGGAAAATGTACATGTCTTTGCATTTTCAATTGCATTCCCTGCAATTACTTACGTCAAAATAGTTAAGGAAATGCACAAAGATTTAACTACAAGGATGTTCATCCAATGCCATTTAAGATATTAAAAAATGCAAAAAGATCCAAAAGTGAAATCACCAGAATATGATAAGAACTCATTATGTTAATGCAACAATGGCAAATAAGTAGCTACCGAACATACCTGAAACCATCAGTGACATAGGCAGTGGTTCACAGTATTTAGTTTAACAGAAAAAAGAAGATTGTGAAAACAATTATGTACTTTGTTTCCATTTATATCAAACAGTTAAATGGAAACTCATGAAGAAAGAGTCACAGTTCACAAATGAAGACATTAACACTGATAATCTCTAGGAGGAAAGATTATGGATGATTTTGCTTTTCATGTACTTTGGTTTTCTGACATGTCTGCTTTATAAAAATAACCAGCAGTCATAGATCCACAGTCAGATTTGCTTGCAAGTTTCTTCTATGATTTATCCTCTGCTCTCCTAAGTATACCTTTTTCGAAGCATAAAATGCATCATCTTCTGCATATAGTTTCATATTCTGGCTTCTTTTTCTTACATGTAACTGTGTTGATTTGGAGCCTCTGTCAGTACACAAAGGTCTCCTTTATTCTTTTTAATACTGTGTAATGTTATAATATTTCACTGCATAAATGCACCATACTCTATTTTAACTAGTTTCTTAATGATTACTATTTAGGATGTGTGTGTTAGAGTTTTATTTCTTATTTTGTGGGGTAAAATCAATACCAGAACCAAGAAGTTCATCTAATGTGCTGGGTCCTTAGGTAAAGTAAGCTTGTTAACATGACGCTGTTCTAGGCTGACTTCTTGCTCTTTGTTCAGGATCTCTCTGCAAGGTTGGTGATGATCCAGTCCCAGAGAGCACAGTTCCTGATCACGTTTAAGACCATGGAGGAAATCTGGAAGTTCTCTACCTACCTGGATTTAGGTATAGCATGGATGGGGTGTGAAGTTGGGGAGGGACTCACCTTGCAGTTCAGCCAGGTTGTAGGGGTTGATTCTAAAGCACTGGTCAAGTCCTGATAATGAAAAGAAATAGAACTCTAAAGGGAAGACTTAACTTTTGAAATATCACAAACTTCCTTAAACTAAATCTAAAGCAAATAGTAACTACTACTGTAAAAAGTCATGTGGGGAATTAGTTTTCTTTTGTTCAAGGAGAGATCTAATTATTCATTGACTAATCAATCAGTTGACAAGTAATTTAGCCATCTATTAATATTGAAAGTATTGAGATAGATATGAAGTTGATTTTTTTTTTAAAAGGGAACTTGTCAAATAGGATCAAATAAGTGCTCAAAATATTAAGGTTCTAGGTTTCTTAGCTCATGTATTTTTAAAGCAAGGAAAAGGGCGGGGACTCATCCACTACGGTGGTATCAAGACAGCAGAACTTTCTGAAAGGCAGGGAAAGATGTCTGAGTGGAGTGGAGGAGCCACTGTGGTGGCACATAGTTCAGAAGAAAAACTCACAGTAGGAATCTGATGGCTTCAAAGCCAACTGAAGCCAAGCCAAGGGAAACGCTCAATTTGATGAACATCTGATGTACCCCAGAAAAATGCTGGGTTCCGTGCAGATGTCCATAGGGAGAGATGTTGGGCAAGGTTGGAGGGGTAAGGCTAGAAGTGGGGTGGCTTTCTGCTCTCCCTATTATATACCTTCTTTGGACGCTAGAGAGCCTTAGTATTCAGACTGTGCTCCGAGGATTAGCTGTACTAGCATCACCTATGACCTGCAGAAAAGTAGAATCTCAGACTCCAAATCAGCGTGTATGTTTCAATAAGATCTCCAGGTGTGTGCTTAGAAGGTCAAGAAGTACCATGGTAGAAGCAGCCAGGCCTAAATCAGTATTATAGGCCTTTCAGAAAGGAAAGAGGGTTTTGCAGTGTTAAGAAACCTCAAGAGAAGCAAAATTTTAATATGAACAACTCATGTTTCAAAGCATGTTGAGGTACTACACATAATTATTTAAATTTTATTATTTTCATATTTTTAAAAAGGCAGAGCTTACTGAGCACTCACTGGACAAACCTCAGCGTCAGTGCAGGGAAAATGGAAGTAGATCCTACATCTTGTGACTGTGGAGAATCCCTTTAGTCACTCTCTTGTTTGGGACACATGAATTTGAATTACAGGTCGAGAGAACTTAAGGGGGAGACCAAGAAGCCCTGGAGAAAACACGTTAAACTTAAGAGCTTCCAAAGCTCAAAGGAAAGAAATTTAGGTTTGGTCAGTTCATTATGCACTTACAGAGATGCACAAGATGTTACAAATGGTAAATGTCATTTAAACACAACTTATATTTTTAAAAGTATTCTGAAAATATGTCTGTGGTCCTCCAAGAGCAGAACCTTCTGTGATCTGAGGGTGGAGCCTACCTCGTTCAGGAACCTTGTTGGCTTAAATTCTAGGCTATGTGTCCACATGTCTAGAGCATCTCCTCTTTGACCACAAGTACTGGCTTAACTGCAGATTGGTAGAGGATACGGAGATTCAAGTTTCTGTAGATGAGAAACATCTGGAAACCATGTATCTGAGTCTCCTGATACAGGAAGGTAAGCATGGCTAGAGGTGGGGGTGGGGGCTCATCTGAATATTCACCAGAATGCCTGGACTCATCAAGACACACAGGGAAGCAGAAAGCATTTAAACATGCAGCATTCCAAATGAGCCTACCTGTCAGTTATAACAGTGCCTGAAACCTCTCACTTCAGACTGACATCGCATGAATACCTGGGCCAGTTTGCCTCACTCATTGATATTAGAGCTGCTTGGGCAGTTTTAAAAAGATGTCCATGTCAGGGATCCATATTGGCCAATGAAATTCCTAAAGGTGGGACATTCCTGCCTTTTTAAAAGTTTTCCACATAATTCAGATGATATCCAAGATTGAGAAAGGCACATATAAACAAGCGACATAATTTGATTGTAAAATAAAGTTGCAAATCTTACAAAACCTGAGGTATTTCCTGAGAGTGAGCAAAGTGATGTTGATATGCACCCCAAGTGAGGATGCGCTTAGACTGACCTAAAAGATGCATTGGATTTGCATAACATATTTTCACAAAAATGATTCTTTTTGTGATAGCTTTGCATGAATCATATATGAAAGAAGGAGTTTCCTGATCACTTCTTGGCCTTTTGGCTAAGATCAAGTGTAAAAGGAGTTTCATGTTGTGCTATGATAAAGCTTACGGTACTTACATTCACCCAAATCAATTTATTTTTTTGTTGGTTCTAGAATTAAGTGTGAGGTTGCAATTATAACTGAAGTTCTGTTAAATGCAAACATATTCTCTTCACTTTTTATATAATATCTTCTTCAAGATAAAGTTCCAAGTATGCTTTTTGTTCACAAATTGCTCAGAAATGTTGGTGTCTATTTTAAGCGAATTCCCTCTCAGTGGCTTTTTCTTGCTGGTTTTCCTGGGATCCTAAGGACTTGGTGGAGTGCCTCCTCCTGGACAGTCTGCTTTACTCCTAGGAATAAGTGTCTCAGGATGCTGGAGAGAAACATTACCTTGTGTGATCATTCCTTTTCACTTCCCACTACACCTCGGAAAGGGTTTTTCTCATTATCTGCAGGTCACTTCTTCTGCAGAGCCACGTGCTCCGTGGCTCAGCCAGCTGAGAAGGAAGGGGAGTGTTTGGGGCTTTGCAAGAATGAATTAATTTCCGTGAAGACCTCGGAAGGGGAATCGGCGTGGGAAGGCGTGTCCTTAGTGAGTGGCCAACGGGGCTTGGTTCCGGTGTCGGCCCTGGAGCCCCTGCCCGTCCCTTTCCATCAGTGAGTAGCCACCATTTCCTGCAGAGGGTCCTAGAGCCGGATAGGTCTGCACAGAGCAGAGCAGGCTTGCTGTCCGATACCCGCCCAGGCACCTGCATGAGAACAAAATGCAGGTGCTTTTTAAAAATTTATTGTTTTTTTTTAACAGCCAAGATTTGTACAATTAATATGGAGTGAATTAATTTGTACAATTAATTTGGAGTAAATTTCAGATGGATATTTTACCCAGGCAGAAATTCACCATGTGAATACCAGTGCAGCGTTTCTTAGGATAGTGACCTGAAATTCGTATCACTTAGGATTTTACCAAAAATCCAAATGCTCTGGCATTTCTCAGATGCTCTTGAGGCTGGGCCCAGGAATATGGGCTTTAAATAGGTTCCCCAGAGTTTTTTCTTTTTTAAGTTTGAGAATCCCTGCTGGAAAACATTGTAAATTCAAATATGTAGAGTGACAGTAAACATTACCGCAGAGCCTATGTTTGGTGCTGGCAGAGACTCTGAGGGATAAGGATTTGCAGTGATCTTTTGTGGATCATTTAACTGAGAAAACCCAGCTGCAGAGCCAGCATACACCCCAGGTCTGCCGAACTCTTCTTTTTACAGTGTCTAGCATAAAATAAGTTTTCACCAAGTGTCTGATATCATGAAAATAAGCTAAATAAATCCTTACTGTAATCATCCTAGGTATTCATCATTTTTATAACAGACTGTTTTCATTGTTTTAAGCTTTTGAAATTCATGTTTGCAAACGTTCTGTTTCCACTGGCAGATGGTTCCTAAAGAATTATCCAGGAAGCTGTGGTCTTTCCAGGAAGAGGGATTGGACAGGCTCTTATCAGATCGGTATGGCTGGGTTGAAAATGTAGTTAGGGAGATAATGTTGTCCTGCCTCCTAATTTTATCTGCAGGCTTGGAGTCGGTTGATGGGAATTTCTGCCTTGCCTGTGCTACTGACTGGATTTGGGGAAGTCATTCGCTGTCTGTAACTGTGATGTGAGAGGTCTCAGTCCAGACTGCAGATTCAGGTTCCTGAAGGGGCAGACAGGGCACTCAGATATGTGCCGGGCTCTGTGGGAGGGCCCGAGGCCACAGCAGGGATTTAAAGATAGGTGAGAAAAAAGCCCAGTGTGGGCCAAATTAAACCTTTTGTGAGCCAAATGGGCCTGCAGGCTGCCTGTTTTAATTTCTGGCCAAAATATTTTCTCATTTCCCTTAAAGCACTGTGTAACTAGACTTGAATTTAAGAAGAATATGAATATTTGACACAAGGACAAACAGTAAAAGTTTTTGACCAAATGAGTGAAGTTTATACACACACACACAGACACCTATATGTATGTCTACATATTCATGTATATGAATGCCTACATTTGAGATGTTTTCCATCTGAATAATAATGTGTACGTATGTGCACACACACCTGTATGTACACATGTATCTACTGGATAATAAAGGATCTAGAGTATGCCTGCCTTCTTCATCCTTAGCGCCCTCCCCATATCCCTATACCCTGACACAGAGCCTTCAAAAAAGTGTAACTTTACCTCTAAGTTCAAGTGGCATTTTAAAAAAAGAGCTAGAAAGAATTATGGAACCCAGACACGAGAACTAATCAAAATTGATGGTTAACAAGATATTTTGCTTTGTAAGGTGATGTAACCTGATGGGAACAGGGCTTTGAAGTCCATTTTGGTTCAGATGCTGCCTTCACAATTTAACACCTGTGTGACCTTGGTCACCCCCCTGCCCTCACTGTGCCACAACTTCCTCATTAATAAAATGATAATAAAGCTGACTTTAAATCTTGTCGAGAGAACTAGACACTATGAGATCTAGAAGTCTCCTAGTACTATTCTTCTCAGTGTAGATTTCTAATGTGTGGTCCCATAAACCTACAAAACAATGGGAATTTTTGCTCATGAAGACATAATCGAGAGAAATTTGGTAAAAATGTTTGAAAAAAATTGAACCAAAAGTATGAACAGAGGAGCAAAAGTAAATATAAAAACAGAGACACATAAAAGACATTATTTCCACCAGCACAGAATTAGTGGGAAGAAGGGTTAGTGAGAAGACCTAAGTTCGGGGTTCAGTTTTACTGACTACAAGCTCCTGGGTCAGCTCTTAGTGGTTCTTCTCACTCCTAATCTATGCAAAGAGGATTCTGATGGCTGCCCTGCCTGCGAGTTAGCGTTCTCGGAAAAATCTGAGGAAAGGGCTAATTTGTAAACTACACAGAACAACATTATAAATGTCATTATTAGATCTTAGGCAACTTATCAAACTGAATAATTACCATAGACAGAAGCAGGCTCTTGTAGATCCCTCTGGGGCAGCAGCAGCTTCCATTCTGCTAATGCTGACCAGGCACCACCTATGGAGGGCTGACTAGGTTCTGGGCATTGTCAGTTTTGTCCCTTTGATTCCTGTAAGTTATGAACATCAAACATTGTGGTTATTCCCTCTGTACCGTTGGGGAGGCTGAAGGTCACAGTGGTCCAAAGCAGATGGAAAGACACGTAGGGATCTTTTGGTGGAGAATGGCTCATCTCACATGCTGGTCTGTGGATTTGTGCCAACCAGGACCAAACATTTGTATAACAGTGGCAGAATCAAGCTAGGACAATACTGAGCTCTCCAGTTTTCCATAATCTTCATTTATTAAATTTTGAGACATAGTCTATATTCTGGGAATATCTTTCTTAGGCCTTTAAAACATCTTTTCTATTACAAAAGGATGATGAAAGTGGGTTGCAGTTCCTTTTTTTTGGAATGTCCCAGTTTGACAATGTGAGAAGCCCATTACTCTATCTCATTTCAGATGGTTTACTTTTTCAGGCCAGGAGGGGATCTCGCTGGCCTTTAGTATGAAAGCCTGGGATGCCCTCCGTCTTTATTACACTGGCAGGTGGGGATGCTCAGCGGACGCTGCTGTCTGCGTTTGACCTATGTGCTGTTTCCCACAGGCAGAGGAAGATGTAAGGCCTCGAGGGATTATGAACAGGAAGAAAAGGATGAACTGAGTTTCCACCAGGGAGAAAGCATCGAGATCATCGGCTTTGTCATACCTGGACTTCAGTGGTTCATTGGGAAGTCAGTGAGCTCAGGAGCAGTAGGCTTTGTCCCCACCAGGAGCATAGATCCTGATTCCTACTCCCCAGTGTGAGTACGGCAGTGAGTCTCTCCTGGAGCTGGGCTGCCTCTGCCCAGCTGTGTGCATGAGCTGTGCATAGGAATGCTCTAGTTATGACAGCCAAGGCACACGGAATGGGAGGGAGGACGGGTGGGTGGTGAGAGAACAAATGAGCTTGTTTCATACAACAGTGGATCATTGAAACTTTCCTCCGTGCAGGGAGAGTTAGCAGTGCCTCAAGAAAAAAGGTCTACTGTTAGGCACCAAGGGTGTGTCTTTGGTGTTTGGATCCTTCCATGCACCCGTCCAACCCAAAGCCTCATTAAGGGATGAAAACACACGAGGAGCACAGATTACCAGCTTGGTTCATGGACAGTCCCCTCCCTTGTTGGTCAGAGAAACAGGTTCCGTGTAGGTTACAGATTTGCCATTAATGCTAAGCATTGAATGTGGGAGATCAATATTGGCTAGGGGAGCAAAGTGCATCTTTTACCTTTTTCCTCCCTAACTCTAGGAAGGCTGCTTGTAAGAAGCAGCTTGGTCCTCTGGACCCACTGGCAGATGTCCAGCTTGCTCCGCCCATTGTGTCAGTCATAGGAAGGGAATCTCAGCCTTGCACAGTCCCTCTGGGGAGAGCTTCTTGCAGATGTTAGAAAACAGTAGAAAGCCTGGGTCTAGAAAGTGTGAGGCGAGGCAGAAAGTTTGTGCCTCATGTTAGACATACAGAGAAGTTGTGGCTCAAGGAGTATATGAGGCTCCCAACATTCAGACTGGGATTCCTCTTCCTATGGGAAAGAGTCAGTGAAGAGTGAACTGAGGAATAGAAGCTTCCTCTATGTGTTACTCTTCATGAGGAGAGCAGATAGAGGACCATCTTCCCTCTGCAGAAATGTACCACCCAAATCCCACAGAACAGGGAGACCACTCACTGAGCTCCTGAGAGGTGTGGAGGGCTACGGGGACTTGTAAGGAAGACGAGAGTATGGAGAAAACATTCACAAAGGGCGATGAGTTAAGTTTTGCACAATGTAAGATTTTAACTGATGCAAGAGGGAAGGTGAGAGCTACTGACTCATGACCCTTGGAGGCAGGTTTCAGGAGGTACAGAAGGGTGGCTGCTGGACACTAGAGACTGATGGTGGGGTTAAGGGCAGCACCTCGTGGGAGGAGCAGGAGCAGAGGGGAAAGGCTGCTGCTGGAAGATAAAGATTTGGGGAGCTCTGCAAATGTGGAGAGCCGAGTTCTGCTCCAGAGGCTCTTATCTTGTCTAGGTGGATCCTGGGCTATGATATTTATTAAAGCTCCCTAGCAAAGGCTGTGGCTATCAAGGTGAAAACCAGAGCCCCTTATTTTTTTGCAGTGGGAAATGAGGACCTGGGAGTGAAGGGGCTGAACTAAGTCTTTGGGTCTGGAAGCCTAGAATCTTAATGTTAAATGTGCAGGTCCTTCAACTGGTTATAAACAGAACGGAGTTTGTGGGGAAGAGCCCATTCCAGAGCAGAGGAAGGACAAACATAGCGAAGGATACAGAGAAGTTTACTGAGAGGAAAGAGCCAGCCTTGGAGGAGGTGGGAGGTAGATAATATTGTCACTGGCCTCAGTAGGGAAAGCAGGGCCACCTAATAAGGAAAGGGTGGGCCACTGGAAGGTCATGGGAGGAACACAGCTTAGTGGTTTGCAGAGTTCTGGGGTTAGATATCACCCAAAGCATTTATGACCATGTGAGTACATCCCATATCACCATTAGCTTATCATCCATGTGACTTTGGACACGTTGAGTTTCCTCTGTGCCTCGGTTTTCTTCTCTGTGAAATGTGTATAATGTGATGCCTGCCTAACAGGACTGTCATGAGTGTAAATGAGCTGATACACAAGGCACTTAGAATGGTGCTGGCATGGGTACATCAGTGTACCTTGGCTCTGATTCCATTCTTGTCATCACTGTGAGTATTTTTGACAGCTGATTTTAATATAATATTAGAAAGGGAATTAAAGTTTACAAATTATATTTAGAATTTTTTCTTCAGTCAAATTTTATTGGTACATTTGAGATATACAAAATGATCACATTCATCATAGAGTCCGTGATCTTTGGACTTTTACACCTCACACATTGTTCCAAATGGCAAAACTCAGTACCACTAAGTCAATTTAGCCATAATGCTTGAATAGCTTAGTTGCACGATCTTACACTGAAGAGCAGCATCATGTGAGGTAGTGATGCCACTTTCTCCTTATCCACAGTGGAATCGATAAACCTGCACCGGTGGGACTCATTGCAGCAGGGGCTGTACAGTTGGTAAGGAACAGGAAAGAGAGCCAGGAAGCAAGGAGGGGCGGAATCAGGAGAAGTGGGAGCAGGGTCCTTGTGTACCCTAGCACTCTCTGGACTGCAGCTATTCTTAAACTATGGCAATTTAGGAGCAGATGCAGAGCTCCCAGCACTCAGCAGGCAGGGACTGAGGTTTCCCAGGTCCTTCTGCACTGTGCCCGGGACTGGCCACTGGGTGTCGCCCTGAGTCTGTGTTCCTTTGCTATTGGGTTCCTGAGGAAGGCCTCAGCCTTTGCTGAAATCTCCATCCTCCTCCTGTGAGTTCTCTCCCTGTGCTGATAAATTCTTCCAAGAAGTGCATGAGTGTGAACATGTGTCTGTGTAGGTGCACATGCGTGTGTGCCTTCAAAACTACACTCACAGTATCCGATGGAACTTCTCCAGAGGCTGCTTCGTGCAGCTGATTTAGCCTGTGCTTAGTAACACACAAGAAGGTCTTGCCCAAGGAGCAAATTTATGATTTCTTTTCTTTGGCACAGATTTTAATGCCAGCTACCTAGTTTAACACAAACTTTTTAGCAATGCAGCTGCAAAGCTAGTTCTTGAAACTTTCAGAAAGCATTTTGTGCAAATAGATATAGTGCTGTTTGGGGTTAGCCTGAATGATTTTGGGATCTCAGAGATTTTGAGTTTTGATGTTCAAACTAGTGTGTGTGTGTGTGTGTGTGTGCACACATACACACTATGTCTATTCGCACAAAATGCTTTGGTATTTATCTTTCTAATTCTTATTCTGATACATTTTAAAGACAATTTTTATTTATAAACAAATGACAATGATGTTATGTATTTAAAATTATATATATTTCTTTCATAACTGGCTTTTTTGGTGAACATTGTAAATTTGGATTTATTCACATTATCGCAGATATAGTAAATTTTAATAATGTGTTACTTAAAAGAAACTTGTACATGTCTAAATTAAATAACTAAATTAAAAATAGGCATGGCCGGGGGCTGGGGATTTAGCTCAGTGGCATAAGCACCTGCCTGGCAAGTGCAAGGTCATGAGTTCGATCCCTGGTACCAAAAAAAAAAAAAAAAAAAAAAAAAAAAATAGGCATGGCTGATTAGTGCCCTGCAAAGCAGAAAAAAAGCAACATAGGAGAAAACAGTATTTCATAGTATTAAAAGTTTTAAAACTCTTTTGCTATACCCTTTTTATTCTTCATATTGTTCCCATGTCTTCTTTATAATTTTATTTCTTATTATGACATCTATTTTTGCTGATGAGAATTTTGCTGTTAGTTTTGTGCCTATTTCTTTGCAGGTTGGCAGTCTCTTTTTGCTTTTTTAGCTGTTCCCTTTTTCATGGGTGTTTTACAATTATAACATCTAGATGTGACAATGTATTATGTATTTGTAGCATATTATCCTCCTCTTTCTTTAAAAAGTATATTTTATAGTAGTCACGTATTTTAGTGAAGACCTGCGAATTGTAAATACAGCATTTAGAGCTTGTTTTAAGAAAATTTTATTTAAAATACACCCTTGAATAATTTAGCTATGCATATAGCAACATCTTCAAAGTGTGAAGAAAAGGCACTATTAATATAAAATAGGAAGCCTATTTTGCCAGAATTTTATACTTGTCAATATTATTTTTTCAAAGAAATTATTTTTGTAATTATTACATTAATTAAAACATTCTTTGAATTATTTTCTATTTCTTTGTTTTTATTTCATCGGTTTATGTTTTTATCATGATACTTAATTCTTTCACACCATGAATTTTAACAGTGAAGTCATCTGAACCTAGCAAGCAGAACATAGGCGAGACAGACAGCTTGCAAAGACCTGCGACCTTAAGAAGTGGGCATCTTGTTAACAGCGACACTCTTTCTATTTTGCTCAGGGCTTGATGTGCTTCCTCAGTCTGAAGACTCAGGTCTTTCTCCAGTTCTGGAAAATTCTCACTCTCTTCTGAATACTGCCTTTCTCTTACCTTCTTAGTCTCTCTTCTGGAACTCCTGTCAGGTATGTTGGACGTGTTCTATCCTTAACTTTGCTTCATAACGTCTTCCTGCTGTTCATGCTTTTGTCCCCCTGGGTCACATTCTAGATGATCTCCTCAGGATGATCTTCATTTCACTGAGTGTCTCATCTGCCGTGACTAAACGTGTGGCTTGACTCCTTCACCTCATCCTCAATTTCCATGCCTTTATTTTCCATTTCTTGAATTTATATTTTCTTTTTTAAATGTGTGATTACTTCTGTCACAGTGTCATCTTTTCATTGCATGTTCTATTTCTATTTTTTATTTCATTGTTTTAATCATGATCGTTCTTCAGTTTATTGTTATCAATAGAATTGGATTAATTTACCAGCTTATGCATCTGCTGGACTTCTTTGTGGCTGGTTCCTTTTCTGAGTTCTTATTTTTGGTTTGTATTTTTTGTTATGTGAATTAAGTTTCAACATTTTAAAAGACAGGCATTGCACAAATCCTGGCTTGAAGGAAATCTTTTGCAAAGTAGGTTTTTTTGGGGGATTGAATTTATGACCTCATGCTTGCCAAGCAGATGTTGTGCTTCTGAGCTATGTTATGTCCCTGGTCCTGCAGAGCAGGTTTTATATTAGCTTCTCCCAGAATCTTAGAAGTTCATGATTGAGGATATATATATAAATAATTGGGAGTTGAATCCAGGGCCTTTGCACTGAAGTGTACCCATGAATACATTTTTTAACTTTGATAGAGGAGGTCTCACTAAGTCACCCAGGCTGGACTTCAACTTACAATCCTACTTCGGCTCCTAGAATGCAGGGATTACAGGTGTGCACCTGTCTCTGGGACTGTATTATGGTGTAAGTTCTCTGAATGTGGTAACCTACATTGTGCATGTAAATTCAGATCCCCACCTTCTGATGGTGTAGGCATATGCTTTTATTCCTACAGACTCGAGACAGATTAAAAGTGACTTCTTGGCAAGTAATAAGATGTTTTGCGCCCAGCCCTTTAAGGAAGTTCCAGCCTCCAGGCTTTATGAAGGGAGCTTTATCTCTCCGAGTTTCACATAGGTCCATGCTCACATCTCTGGTTCCTAGGGCTCACCTCAAGGACCAGGTCTGAGGGCCAGTATTTCAGCTAAAACTTTCAGGATCTCTGAGGCATCTGCTCTCCTTCATCAATCTGGGTTTGGTTTCTGCTTTCATTTCTGTGTCTCATGTATTTCCTTTTATTTCTTTAAAAATTAAGCGTGTGTTAAAATATTTATCTTTGCTACGTCATCCAAGTTCTTGTGTGTGTGCATGCATGTGTGTGTGGGGAGAGAAGCCCTTTAGAACTCTTTAGCCTGCCAGAGTGCTTGAATCTGTGTCATATCATTCTAACCCAGTTTGCATGTTTGGAAACCCATAATGTAGTTTTCAAGCTTCTGGACTCTCTAAATACCTGAAAGTTATGAGCTTAGCAAATCAGCTCTGTGGCACTGGATACTGAGGTACAAGACCTTAGATTAAGCCTAAGTTTCACTATTTTCTAGCTGTGAAATTCTAAACATGTCACTAAACATTTCTGAACCGTTTTCTTCATTTACAAACATGGATTTAAAATCTTTATCATAGAATTATTGTAACAGATAGTAAAGGGAATAAATGGTATGTTTAGGAACACTTTGAAATTTAAGGTTCCAGAAAAATTTGGGAATATCCAAATCTGGCAATATGCCAGCATTCAACTGAGTTTAGTTGTGATGTTTTGAGGTTGGAAGCTTTCATGGTACTGTGGAGAATCTAGAGATCAGGCCAGAGGGGAGGACGATCAGGACATATTTGGGGGAAAAGCCCTGGGCCAGACATGGGGACTTCTTTCTAGTGTCAGTTCTGCCACTAGTTAGGGTGTTACCTTGAGCAGCACTTACAGATGCCAGTTCTCCATCACTGGCTTTCACAGTGCTCATACTGAGCTATGGGGACAAATGACAAGAACCTGACTACAGTATCCCCTTCCTAGTCTTTTCCTGGCTTGTGCTATAACTAGGGACATGCTCTTGTTTCTTGCTGTACTGCTTCCTAAACATCCACTTCCTTCCCCTTAACAATTCCTTTCCTCTCTTAAGGCTACATGATGCTGTTTTGGGACATTCCATTAAGCCTCAAGAATTCTGGTCACTGTGAAACTTTCTTCACTGTTCCTCTAGATTGTACCACTTGTTTCCTAACGTTTTTCTAAAATAATTTAAGGAAAAAGACACTTAATGATTCCTTTCCTTTTATATTTAAGGCAACTAGTTCTGTTTCTTCAGTTATAAATGGTAACCAGGTGGCCTCAAAGCATGGGCAGGGATCAAGAAGGGGTTTCAGTTTTCTTGGGAAATGGTGTTTTAGTGGGGAGGGATGCTTTTATCTGTATTTTCCTCTACTTGGAAATCACACAGATCAGTTTTCTATGCATGAAGTAGGTGCGAATAGTCCTTCTTCTCTGACAGTAGAAATATACTGTTTGCAGCTCTAGGATGAGGAGTCTGATTTCGGCAAATGGGTTGATGGTTTTTCAATTCTTCACTGTACCCTACTGTGCAGAGGAGAGATGGAATCTGGAGCCTTCCACTGATCTGTCTCTGTCTTTTGCCCAATGCAGAAGCAAGAGCTCTGCCTTTTTCAGTGATGAAGAGAGATGCTCTCTGTGGCCCCTGGGAAGCGAAAGAAAAGCTGAGTGTGCCAGCTTCCTCCGCACACTGGCTCAAACTGACATCACATCTGTCTATCGTCTTAGTGAGTATTGGATCCTTACCCCACTAAAACACCAAGCTCCTCGAGGCTAGGACAGCATCCCTAACCAAAGATAAATTATTTCTAAATCTTAATCCCATTCTGGAATTTGAGGCCATGAGCACTGTTTATTTAATTAACCAGATCATGTTTGATGAATAGCATTTTGCTTTAGATTTCAGATAATTCTGGGTTTGTGTAGACCATGTTACCAAGAAATTATGAGGGTGTGATGAAACCAGATTACCTGTACCATAAGTGGTTAGTTGTATTGGTCCATCTACTCTGTCTTGGAAAAGAACTTCTGAGTTGTGGCTGAAATTTGTTGTTTCAGGGTTGAACCACGCACCTAATAGCAAAGGTGGGACCATAGAATGTCACAATTTGGAAGAACCCTAAAAGTTGATTTCTCCCCTTATTTAATAGAGACCCATGTGAATGAATACCTGAGCCAGGCTGAGAACAGCTCATCAGAACAATTCATTTCACCATATTGTCCCAGCCAGAAAAGTGACACTGGGAAGTTAGGAGCATTAATCTTGGGGGAACAGTGGACCCAGTGCCTACCACAGATTTTGGCAATGCCTGACTGACTGACTGAATGAATGAATGATACTAATTTCCTTTATGTTTAGAAAGGTCCACTGCTCTGGCTTGAGAAGTACATCTACTCTCTGATGGTGGTTTGAGGAAGAAGTCTTTGTCCTCTTCCTTTGGTGACATTTCCACTCTTGTGTGACCAGATTAAAAGGGCCACATTTCATGGATATAGTCAGAGGTGGTGGGCAGCATGTCCCCAGCCCACAGGAGCTGGGAGCTCTCTTAGGCGCAAGGTTAGGAGGTAAAAGTTTTCTCCATACACAAGATGCCTTTGTGAGGAGAATGTACCCTAGAGAGCGTCTCTCAACCCTAGCAGAGCTTTGTTTGTTTGTTTATTTATTTACATCTTGATCGGATCAGATCACTGTGTGAGTCTGAGCCAGGAAGCTGAAGTTATGGGCAGTTTGTGTAGTAGACAAGGGCAGACACCCTTAGGCAGGAATAGAGATCTAAGAATCAAGGAATAGTTGGCATGTACATTGGAAGATGTCTTGTTTACTTGGTTACTTTTCTCTATTTGCTGAGACAAAATACCTGACACTCAAAATGAAGGAAGGAAAGGTTTATTTAGCTTACAGTTTTTGGAGGTTTCAGTCCATACTCAGCTGGCTCCAAGGCAGGGTGGCATGGCTGAAGGGCAGCCATTCAGGGTGACCCCAAGCTAGAGGAACCAAAGGGCAAAAAAGGCAAGAAGAGCAAAGCGTGCCTCCTTACCTCCCTTACGCTGCATGCCAGCTCCCCGCCCCTGGGCGGGTGCAGCACTCCCTCCACCAATCCCAGCGCTAGACAAGGAACCAATCACAAACGTCAGATTCAGAGGCCCCCACCTGAGGTTTTGCGCAGGGGGCATTTAAACAAACCGCAACAGAGTCCCAGAAGTGGTTGGCGGACTTGGATCAAAGCTTAATCTGTCTGCTGGTCCATTGGTTGGGCTATGTAAGAACAGGACCCCGGTAGTGCGCTGTGTAAAGAGCAGCAGCGCATTCTGCTGGGTGCAGGTTATATTTTAGGGCTGTGCACTCTGCCCCAGACCAGGGAATCCTAGAGAGGGCTGTGCTCTTTGTAAATGCCAGTTCTCCCAAGGCCTATGCCCTGAGCAGGAGAGCCTCCAGTTCTTCCTCTCATTTGGTAACTCGTGCACTCTTTGTGCTCTCAGTGACTTGGCACTGAGAGAAACACCTGCAGTGAGCCTGGCACGTACCCCTCAGCACTGAAGAGCCCTGGGGGCATGGATGGCTCTCCTAGCAGAATTCTTTAGCTGTCCCATCTTTGGCTGTGGAGACTCCTACCCTTCACCTATGAGTGTCTGCCATGACCATCCCAGAAGCCGCCTCCACAGAGATCACAGAAGGGGCTGGATGGACGAGGGGCCTGCTGGTCCTCAGAGTCCACTGGAGACCTCATAGGGCTGCACAGACAAATATTGCTTTTCCCTGAGGAAGAGCTGGAGCCTTTTCTCTGGTGTCCCTTGTCCTGTGGGCTGGGAGTCTGGCCTTTACCTGCACAGCTCCTGTTGCTATTTCACTCAGAACATACATTTATTTACAGCCAAACTCAAGACACTTTCTCTGTCATTATCTAATATTGTATTACATTTTTTTTTGTGGTGGTGGTAGGGATCAAGTTTTCCAGGACCTTTTCACTGCACTATACTCCTTATTTTGAGACAGGATCTTGCTAAATTACCCAGGCTGGTCTTGAACCTGTAATCCTCCTGCATCACTCTCCCAACTAGCTGGGATTATGTCAGCATGCCCTGCTCATTTTACTTCTGTGTCATTAGGAGGCTGCATCACAGTCACCTGGGTTTCTCTGACTCTGCTTTTCTTTCTGCCATCCTAATTTTCTTTCCACTAACAGCTCTCAGCCAGGATATGCTGAGAGCCTCAGCCTCACTAAAGCATTTCCTCTCTGCTCGCCCTTCTGCTTCCTGCCAGATGTTACACCTGTGCAGCCGTGTTCAGTCCTGGAACGTTAGCCAGCTCCTGATAGCCTGCTCTGAACTATAAATCTGTATTTTCACACCCTGCTTTTCTCTTTGTCTTTAGACCATTCTTAGACTAGAGCTCTTAACTCAAACTCAATGTCTAAAACTCTACTTAAGACTCTCCTGTCCAGGCTGGGAATTTAGCTCGCTGGTGTAAGCACCTGCCTGCCAAGCATGAGGCTGTGAGTTTGATCCCCGCTATCCCATCGCATCAGGCAACAAAACTGGGTCCTTCAAGGACATTTTTGCTCCTTTACTTTATCATGTTTCTGCACATTTGTTTTTCCATCTTCAGAAAGCAAATGCCCAGCACATTGTATGTGTCACACTAACGATCAAGTAGATGGATGAGAGGTGAATGGAAGAAAAAGAAAGGAAGGATGTGGTACACATGGAAAAGGAGGCAGTGCCACATGCCACCAAGTTCCCACCCTACGAGGGCCACCCCATTCTGTAGTAAACTCGCTGAGAGATTTGGGCACAACGTCTCTCCTGTCCTCATATTTTATCAATCCTTATCTGCACCCCTTTTGATAGGTACTGTTTTCAGATTTTTTTCTTTGACTCTGAGTCTTGCCCTGTCTCAGTTCCCAACTGCGAAGTGTGTGGCTTATACAGGATGGTTAGTTCATGCCATGCAGCTCTCAAACTGATGCTGAAAGGGCAGATTCTGCCCATTCTCTAGTGATAACTGATGATCTGAAACTAGACCACAAAGCCTCCTAGAATTACTGGCCTGGGCCCCTGGTTGACATTGGTATGGTGGCCCAATTGAACCTAATACCACTTCTATCCTTTATCCCTACCTAGGTGGCTTTGAATCCATCCAGAATCTTCCCAGTGACTTGAGTGGTGAGTAGAAATCATGCTGAACCTGATCTCTCAGCCTTCGGGTCAGCACCCTTGTCCTCTGGCCAGGAGCTCATGGCTTAGTTGCAGGTGCTTAGGGATGCCCAACTCTGCCTATCCTTACAGCAACTCAGCCCGAAGGCTTCAAGGAGGCCAGGCCCGGCACAGTCAGGGAGGAGCATCAGGCTGTGGACTCCAGATGGTCCAGCAGCTCTGGGGACTCCAGCCTGGAGGAGGAGCTCCTTTCACTTGCCTCAGACAGCTATCACCTGCCGGAGCCCGATGACCTTGATGACCCGGAACTGTTCATGAACCTACACACTGGTCAGGATGAGGAGGAAGCTGAGAATTTTGCCCCCATATTGGCTTTTCTGGATCATGAGGGTTACACTGACCATTTCAAGAGCCTCTATGATTTCTCCTTCTCTTTCCTCACTTCTTCCTTTTACTGCTTCTCTGAGGAGGATGAGCTTATGGTCTACCTGGAGAACTCAAGGAAGTGGGCCAAGAGAAGCCACATGACCTGGGCCCATGCGCGGCTCTGCTTCCTCCTGGGTCGTCTGAGTGTCAGAAAACTCAAACTCTCCCAGGCCAGGGTATACTTTGAAGAAGCCATTGACATTCTCCAGGGGGCATTTGAGGACTTAGCCCTGGTTGCTGCTTTGTATATCAATTTGGCTGCCATCTATCTGAGGCAGAGGCTAACACATAAAGGGCCGGCCCTGCTGGAAAAAGCGGGTACCCTGCTGGCTTGCCTGCCTGACCGGGAGTCCAGTGCCAAGAATGAACTTGACGTGGTGGCCTACGTGCTACGCCAGAGCATTGTGGTAGGCAGCTGCCCTCTGGAGTCCAGGGCCTGCTTTCTGGCTGTCCGACTGCTCCTGAGCCTAGGCCGGCTTGAGGAGGTCCTGCCTTTTGCTGAGCGCCTGCAAATCCTCTCTGGACACCCTCCTGCCTCTGATGCTACAGCCACCATCTTGAGTTTTCTGTATGACAAGAAATACCTTCCATACCTTGCAGTGGCCTCGGTCCAGCACTGTGGTTCTCAGAATACTCATGGTTTGCCTCATCTAGTTTGGCAGGTCTGCTTGGTCCTCCAGAACACCACCAAGCTCCTTGGTAGCCCCTGCTCAAGCTGGGGTGAAGTTTCTGCACTGGCTTGCCCAACTCTCAGGCAGGCATTGGCTGCCTGTGAACAACAGACTGATTGGAGCACTCAGAGGACCTTGTGCCTCATCTTGTCCAAAATGTACCTCCAATATAGGTCTCCTGATGTTGCCATCTACTACCTGAGCCAGGCCCTAGTGCTAGGGCAGCTGCTGGGTGAACAGGAAGCCTTTGAGTCTTCCCTCTGTCTAGCATGGGCCTATCTCTTAGCCAGCCAGGCAAAGAAGGCTTTGGAGATCCTTGAGCCACTGTTATGCTCCATGAAGGAGCCAGAGAGTGTCACCCACAAGGGAGTGATCCATAACCTCCTGGGACTTGCACTTCAAGATGAAGGCCGGGTGAACAGGGCAGCCAGGAGCTATCTCCGGGCCTTGAGCAGAGCACAGGATGCAGGAGATGTGCATAATCAGGCGGTGACTATGGCCAATCTTGGCCACCTGAGTCTTAAGGCTCAGCAGTCAGCCAAGAACTATCTTCTGCAAGCAGTTCGACTCTATTCTGAACTTCAGGCCAGCAAGGACACAGATATGGAATTGGTACAGGTGCTCCTCTGGCTGGCCCAAGTTCTTGTGTCTGGACACCAGCTGACCCAGGGCCAGCTTTGTTATGAAATGGCACTGCTGTTTGGCTTAAGGCATCAACACCTAAAGAGTGAGTATGTCCCGTGCTGCTGGGAGCTTCAGAGAAAAGTGTTGGGGCATGCTTCACCTGTGTCCTATCTTAAGACCATCTCATTCATGTCCCCGCTTTATGTTCAGGTCAGCTTCAGGTCACCAAATCCCTCTGCCATTTCTATAGCTCTGTGTCCCCAAATCCTGAGGCATGCATTACCTACCACGAACACTGGCTGGCTTTGGCCCAACAGCTCCGGGACCGGGAGATGGAAGGAAGCCTGCTGGAGTCCCTTGGGCAGCTCTATCGGAACCTGAACACAGCCAAGTGAGTTCATCCTGGGGACAGTCCTAGAAGCCCTGTGTCTTGTTTAAGGAGAGATAGTGCTCTTCCCCTTAGGGTGTCAAGTCCAAATGCACATGGTACAGCGTGGACCCTACAGCCGGCACACAGTGCTGCCCATTATTTGTTAGCTGTGTGGCCTTGGACAAGTTACTTAATTTCTCCAGGCCTCAGTTTTCTCATCGGTCAAGGGAGATAATAATGACATGTATCTTAGAGTGTTATTGTGAGAAATGAATGTGCTAAAGCTCACGGAACACTTGGAAAAATGCTTGAAATATGGAAAGGCTCAGTGATGTTAACCATGTCACTATTACTGTGTTTCCATAACAACCCACCACCTGACTAGGGCTGAGGGTGCATAACTCAGGACAAGAGGCAGTTATACTTTAGGAGGTGTTTGTTATCTAAAAACAATTGAGATTTGAGAAATCACATGCACACGCACATGCACGCACATGTGCGCATGCACGCACGCACACACACACACACACACACACACACGCGCACACACACACACACACACACACACACACGCCCCTGAAAGCAGGAGTGTCAAATTTTACGATAAAGGAAGGCTTGATTGGTTCGTTACCTTTAGAATGAAATGGAAAATTATGGGATAAAGTTTATTTGCACCTTTATAGTACATCTTAGCAAAAACATACAATAAAAGAAGTGTTGATTTTTCAGCTTAATTGTGTTGACACAATTATATAGTAGCACAATAAGACAGCTTTTGTTTTGTGATTGACTTTTTGGTGCTATTTTAAAAATGCTTCCTTTTTGCAAAATTGCACTAAAATTTAAGGGTGAAATCCCGAAACATCTGTTGACCCTTTGATAGTCAAATTATTCTCACTTGAATTATCATATCTTCTGCCCAATGTTCACTTTGTTCCTTCGCTGGTCTAAGGCTTTCCCCACTTGCCGCTGGGTAGCTTGCAGTTCAGTCTTCTTTCAAGGATTTAATGGATTCCAGGAAATTCTGCAGGATTTGCAAGATTTTCAGTTTCACTTTATAACAGATTTTACATTATAATATGGTATTCATAGTTAGGAATGACTTCAGAAATTGAGTGGAGTGTTTGTTAGTGTTGAGCAGAGAAAGCATTTGAGAAGCAACTAATTAAATTAGAACTTTTGGTTTTTAGGCAGCATGGTAACCTTGGCAGCCTGGAGAACCCAGTACTGAATAATCACACAGCGAGCTAACTAGCTAACTCTCTCGCTGATGTATACATGTGGTGTGTGTGTGTATGTGTATGTTTCATTCCTCATCTCCCTCGCCCTCATCCATTCTTTCTCTTACAAGAATCAAGTGTCCTCTAAACCGCCCACTCTCTCCACATTCAGTGCTAAGCTGCAGTATTTAAGGGAGCAGGAGGGAGCTTGCCCTTGCCTGCCCTACTCTCACTCCCAAACGCCTTCGGGGTTTAGATGGCCCTGGAGCACCTCCAAAAGTGAGGCTCCAGTGAACTTTTGTGATCAGTCACATGCTGCCAGAGGCATCTTGGAATGAAGCTTTGGGAAAGTTGGATTTTAAGGGATTTTAATGTGTGTCAGACTTACTGCCGCCTCTTGCTGCTGTGCAAACTCAGTCTTAGGTTAATCCTGTCCCCAGCTGTCATCTGCCATCCTTCACTCACCAGCGCCCGCTCCAACCCTAGTTGTCAAATACCTTTGAAATCCTGAAGGGGGAGCTAGAGAGAAAGCCCTGGACACTGCCAGCGTGAGTGTGGAGGCCTTCCTTAAGACTGTTGAAAAGTTCTTGCAGGCAGATAGTGTGTCTAGACACCTAGACATTCACTGTGTTTGTTTGGGCAGCCAGGTATTAAACTGACACTCGCTCATGGCTCTGGAGCTGTGCCTGAGATGGTACCTGATGGTTAAGATGGGGATGTTTTCCCAGAGGAGTCCCTGGCACCTTTGCACAGGGCTCAGGTAAGGAAAGAAAGGTGCTTCAGCTTGGAGGCAGATAGTCTGGTCCTTAATGACAAGGACAGTGATCAGAGTGCCATCAGTGGAAGCTAAGATGCCTTTTGAGAACACTGTAAGTAGTATCAGCCACAAAGCATAGAGCATCATAACAAATGTTCACCAATAAGAACCCAAACAGTGGATAATGAGTTAGTATATAGGGGTTTGCAGCTAAATGAGCAATACAGGATTTTTTTTCCTAAAATTAAATGGTTGCTTATGGTAAAAAATATTAAAGCAGCATTGATGGTTGTAACTTGAAAGATAAAGGCCTCCTTCTAGCTTTTCTTTTCCCTAGAAGTAACTCTTAGGAAGGAAATAGTTCATGCCCTTAAAGCCTTGTATTAGATGCATATTTTTGTTAAATATTGGATATCTTAAACATAATATACACATATTATAAGTGGGATCATGATGAAAGTTCTGTTCCAGTATATACTGTTCTGTTGCTTGTTTTTTTTGTTTAAAAGCATCACCGTGAAATAATACAGTGTTGACTTAGCATTTGATGACACCAGGGGAGCCCTTATGTTGCATTAGGTAGTGTTGCCATAGCTCAGAAATCTGCTGGTTAGGTTAAAAGACAAAAGCAGTTATTTGAAAACAGAACGACCTATCCCATGCGAATGAGCATGCTGTTGTTACAAGTAATCAAGCAGAGACTGACCACTTAGGAACTTATAGAAGAGTTTCCTTAAGTGGACTGAACTTAGATCTTAGAAATAGCTTTAGTGAGGTATACTCACATGCCATGAAAGTATAATTTAGTTTCCAGTTCGGCATACAACTTGGTGTTTAGCATGTTCCCTCAGTTGCGTACCCATCACCACTGTCTAACTGCAGACAGTCTTCCTGGCCTTTCCTCAAAACCCTGCACCGGGCAGCAGTTACTTCCTGTTACCAATTCTCACCCCAGTTCTGGAAGCCACTGACTTGCTGACTGTTTCTATCGTTTTTCCTACTCTGGGAATTTGGTATTCATAGATTCATTCAACATCATTCGATATGCGGCTGGCTTCTTTCATTGGTATGGCATTTTCCAGGTTTATCCATGTTGTCTATGTATTGGTATTTCATTATTTATGGCTGCTGAACAGCATTCCATGGTGTGGTTAGGCCAAACTCATTTACTTATTCCATACTTGATTTAGTTGATGAATAGTTAGGTGATTTTCATTTAGTCTCTATGATGAAAAAAGTACTGCTAAATACTGCTGTGAACAAGTTTGTTGCGTGAAGATGCATTTTCTGTTATTGAAAATTTGTATGTAGATGTGTGAGTTGATTGAAATACCACCTTGACTGGAATAAGAGTTTCCTGGAGAGTTGTCAGTATCTGTCTGTGTATTGGAACGCTTAATCCATTTATATTTAATTAATTACTGGGAAGTTATAATTTACGTAATTATTTTGGTACTTCTTTTTGCTACCTCTCTGTGTCTCTTTGTCTGTCTCTCTCTGTCTCTCTCTTTCATACGCTGGGCAGTGAACGCAGGGCTTCTCTGTGCTTGTTAGGCAAATACCACTGAGCTACACTGCTAACCCTGTTTGTTCTCTGTGTGGGTCACATCCTTTTCATTATTCAGTCCCACCCCTGCTTTCTTTTGTGTGAAGTGGATATTTTCTAGCCTACTAGAAATTACTGTTGTAATTTTCTTGCCGTTTCTCTTACTATATTTTCTTCTGCTATTTTCTTGGTGTGTCCTCTTGGTTACATCCTGACCTGTAGGAGTCTCAGTGCTCAGAGCCCTGCGCGCTATAGACTCCTTGATCCCTGGGAGTACCTGGGAGTATTTCAAGACCTTTTATGGAATCCCCACCTGTTTTTCCTTCTGTATTTTCTTTTGTCACCTTCATGTTTCCTCCAAGTGTTTTCACTACCCTAAGGAAAGACAGTGTTCAAAATTACTGTGTATCTTTTTGGACAAACACAGTAGGAAAAAAGTGCTCTTCACTGAGTGAATTCTAAGTCACGTCAAATGAAAACATTTTTTGAGGAGAGACACTTGAAAAGGTCAAATGGTGACATCCAGGTTAGTCAAATAGGGACAGTTCCCTTTTATGGAACTTTAAGGAATTACAAACTCATGATGACCCCAGTGTGGCTGCTTGGATGTGGCTTTTTCCAGCTCCTGTGATTGTGGGATTTGGTCTTTAAGGCCACTGCAGACCTGGAGCAAGCAGAATGGGTCCAGGGTAAGTTAGAAACCCAAAATATAAATAAATTGAAGAAAAATAAAGGATAGATGATAGGAAACGGGAAGGCAGACTTTCTGGAAATAGGAATGGTCACAGGAAGGGGAAGAAGGAACAGAAGGTGGTGGCTAGAAGGCTTGAAAATGATGAAGACAAGGGCTGGGGATTTAGCTCAGTTGCATAAGCACCTGCCTTGCAAGTACGTGGTCGTGAGTTCGATCCCTGGTACCGGTAAAAATACAAAAATACAAAAAAAAAAAAAAAAAAAAAAAGAAAATGATGAAGACAGACATGCACACCAAGTCCTCCAGACTGAATGTAACTGCTGTGTGTCGCACGCGTGCACTAAAACAAACACGCACAACAGAACAAAAACTGAAAACAGAAAAGCAACAAAGCTCACCATTCTAAACAAAATTCAGTCATTTGACAAAAATGCACACTCCTTGGATTGTCGTGTATCGTTAGTTAGTTTTTAAAGTTTGAGAGGCTTTGTTTGATAGTTTTTATTGCCAGTGTTCCCGTTCCTTTTGTAGAGGATGGATCTTTTGGAGATCTGTACCCCATTTTCCATAAGTTAACTCAGGTTAAGATGGTTTGATTTTAATATTTAATAATTTTAACTTATTTTTATTGGTATCATTTAACTAATTTTTATTGGTATCATGGGAGGAAATAAACCTCACTTTCTTGGCTTAAAGGGAAACTTGGAAAGTACTGCAGGTGTCAGAGCAAACTTCTACGGACAGAAGGTCATTGTTCCATTGCCAAATGGCCATTTCATCAAACAGAACGACATGCTGTAATGT